TGCCTGATGAGAAAATTAAGTAAAAACGAATACTATTTATATTCAAATACTTAAAATTATTATAATAATAACGCACACACTCAACACTCCTGTGTGTGTGTGTGTGTGTGTGTGGGTGCTATGGACACACACATAGACAATCACAAATTACACCCAAACTCACGAGAGAAATAAATGTAGGCTATATAAATATTTCTCCCGGCCCGGGAATCGAACCTGGGACCACTGCCATCGGACTCTGACAACGGACTGCCATCCGGCGTGGTAACTGTTCGGCCACGGAGGCAGTTTAATTATAAGTGTGAATAATTATTTTAACGATCTACAATAAAACATATTTGGTTGTAAACCTTTCATTCGAATTAAACTGATATTGCAATTTAACATTATGCAATTATGAATAGCGCCATTTATTTGTCACCAATATTCTATACAATACAATACAATGCCATCTAGTGGTCACATACAATCTATTTTTTATGTGCTAGGAATCAGTTATTACATTAATTTACTATGTATGAATACATATTTCATCAATCTACAATAAAACTATTCTACAGTTCGGCCATCCTGGATACTACACGACCTGGTGTATGTATCGTTTTACGACGAACAACAACAAACTCAATCATGTCTAACTTGGGACGTGGATTTACCCATCCACCGGCCCGAATGGCCGCTACCTGCGTTCACCGTTCAACATTGACAACAGATCGCTCGCGTCTGTACTCTTTGCTCTACACACTTAGCTTAGAGGCTACTCTGGACGACGCGATACTGACAGGTCGTTGTTGAATATTGAGAAAGGACATTCAGTCCGCGAATTGCTACTATTCACAGGCCTCCATACGGTCGCTAGCTGCGTTACCATTGAAGCTCAGATCACGTCCATCGGTATGCAGAGTATTGAGATTGAGTATAAGAGATTTCAGACCATGAAGTAGGCTATGGACCTGGAGTATCGCGATGTCCAAAGTGACGTACATGAGAGTACTGAACAGCCAACATCACATTTTCAAGCAATTCCTCGAAATATTGGTTGTGTTTTGGCTGAGTAAACATTATTAAAATTAATGCTAATAGACTTACGACAATAAAATATAGCTTGGGACATATATATTTATCGAAACCAAAACTTAAAAACTCGAAATTATATTTTGGCTGCAACTTATGCCGAGACGCACGAAGAGAAGGAATTTGTAGCTTAGTAACACAGGGCAATTAATAACGAATTAATTTTTAAAGTAAATTCATCTGGCAGGTCAAAAGCTATTTGAAGTGACTTATTATAATCTGTGCGTTTAACCCTTCATCAGATTCAACTCTTTTACAGAGTAGTTTATTTAATTAAATACTTATCATCGACAAAAGACAGAAATGGATGAGTCGTGGATTGAGGAAAAGTGCTAGAATTAATCGTATATTATACGAAAACAATATGAGGAAGTATTTTCAGATCAAACAAAAACGCTAACACAAAATTTATAAATAAAAGTAACTCAACGTGGTCGTACTAAGGTTGAAATTTGTAATACGAGATTAAGACACTAATGTCAACGACATTGACTAAATAACCATTTAATAACCCAGTTGACATTGCTAACGCTTTCAAAGACTTCTGAAGTAAGAAATGATTTGACTCAATCAAATAACAACCATTTGATTAAAACGTTCGTTGAATCAGTGTTCCCCACACCTACAACGGAAGACAAAAGTAAACGGCGAAGTCTTTATAAAAAAAACACGAAATTAGCAACCACAACAATAGCAATGTATATTCTTATAAAATCGGTATTGAGTAATATTAATAGCGGTAACTTAACTGCAGGACTATTATTTGCTATGTCGGAGGCTTTTGACTATGTCTCGTATAACTAATATTTTAAACAAACAAAACAATAATGGCGACACCTATTGTCGTAGCTTCTAATAAGAAGACCGAGACCATGAACTAGGCATAAATAGTACGAATGAGTAGTTTTAATTATGAGGGAAGTATATTGACAAAATTCTGGCATCGTATTTTTTGTTTTTTTTTTTGTTTTAGATCAGCAGAAGACATGCAAAATAGTACATTAATTTTTCAGTTACAATAAATCACTTTAGTGTACTTACTGTATAGATAACGAAAGTACAAGAAATGATATACAGGGAACTGAGATTTCGACTGTCAATCTATAAAGACCTCGACAATCCACCACTTTATCTACTGTCTAATAGGTTTAGGTACAAAAGTGGCAAATAACGATTATGATTATACTAAAAATACCAACCGTCTAAATTTGGTTATTGACGAAAACACTCATCAGGAAACGGTCAGTTTTGTCGTGGCATGTTGTCACTTGCGATTTGATGCGATCTTCACGATGTTCTACGAACAGCAAAATTGCAGAAAAATACTACTATCTGTGATAATTTAGGAGTGACGTCTTTTTCAGGGGCCTGGTAATAAATTGCAGCGACAAAAGTTTTTAAATGACTTTAGGTTTAAGTTATTTTCTTGTACACAACGGCTCATTTGTTGATTTTTAAACAGTAAGACCAACTTCTAATTGATGTTTGGTAATTCAGTTTTTAAACAAGATTTTCTATTCAATTGTGGAGTCGCGACACACCAGGGGACTGAGGTTTTGAGACATTAATGGGCGTATTTCGTAAAAAAATATGTAATTCCTTATGTCGTCAGTTTCTGTGACTAGATGGTTAACGATGTAAATAAACGTGTAAGTATAAAATAGTGATCTAAGATTTAAATTTCACAGGATATTTGTCGGGCCATTCAATGTTCCATCATGATCATGGCGTGCTTCAAATAATTGGAACATTATAGCCAATCCTATTATATACGATTTGATCAGACAAGACATATAATTACTATAAATAAATATAATTTCAATTTGCATATCGATGTACTTCACAAATTTTATATAATATTTTGTAAACAAATGATCTGTTATTATAATATATATTCTGCTTATGTATGTATTTATGTATATAAAGTTCATGTATTGTATATGTCTGTCACACGACAGACATATACATAATATACACACGTATATTATTATCATTTATATTTTATTCACATTTAAATTTAAATTTTGTTGTACATTAATTAGTCCCGCAGACTTTATTTTTGCACCACGGCTAGGGTTGGCTGGAAGAGATCTCTTATAGAGATAAGCTCACCTTTGTATATGTCCATTGTAACGTGTGTTTCATGTGTCTTTTCTTTGTACAATAAAGAATATTATTATATTATTACTTCTGAAGGTTTCTTGCAAAAAATTCTTGGAATAACGATAGGTCAAAAGTATGCTGGAAAGTCAAGCAACATCGAGAATGTATTTATGTCCAAAAGTCAATAACTTTGTGTATTCCCTAAAGAAAAGCTAAAAAAAACAAATAGGATTACTAGGACGAACGCGAGTTACAAGCACCAACCCTTAATACCTCACCAGAACAAATATGGAAGCTGTCATAACCACATCTAGGGCGCATGTAGAATCTACACTAGGTTACGGAATGGCGTTTAATAGTTCAAATTGAACCAGAGCTTTCGAAGCACAACACGTAACGTTAAAACATAGACGAAATTTTCGACTCAAGAACAATGGCAACAGTGCGCTTCACTTCTCTCGAGAATGAGCCACGCTCGATTCAATGTTCATCTCCATCCATGCGTATTATTGACAGAAGTGTGAATAATTATTTTAACGATCTACAATAAAATATATTTGGTTGGAAACCTTTTTTCCGAATTAAACTGATATTGCAATTTAACATTATGCAATTGTGAATAGCGCCATATATTTGTCACCAATATTCTATACAATACAATGCCATCTAGTGGTCACATAAGATACTATTTATTGTGCTATGAATCAGTTATTACATTAATTTACTATGTATGAATACATATTTCATCAATCTACAATAAAACTATTTTACAGTTCGGCCATCCTGGATACTACACGACCTCGTGTGCGTATAGTTTTACGATGAACAAGAACAAACTCAATGTCTAATTTGGGCCGTGGATTACTCATCCACCGGTCCAAACGGCTGCTACCTGCGTTTACCGTTCAACATTGACAACAGATCGCTCTCATCTGTACTCCTTGCTCTACACACTTAGCATAGAGGTTATTCTGGACGATGCGATACTGATAGGTCGTAGTTGAATATTGAGAAAGGGCATTCAGTCCGCGAATTGCTAGTATTCACAGGTCCCATATGGTCGCTATCTGCGTTACCATTGAAGCTCAGATTACTTCCATCGGTATTCAGAGTGCTGAGATTGAGTATAAGAGATTTTTGACCATGAAGTAGGGTATGGAACGGGAGTATCGCGATTTCCAAAGTGACGTACATGAGACTACTGAACAGGCAACATCACATTGTTCTGACCGTGGTCCGTTTTCACATGCATATTTTTGATGGGATGAAGTTTCTTAAATAGATTTTCCACGATCCACGAGTAAGAAAAGCTCTGAGTAATACCACCAACAAGAGGCGATTCTAATATAATAAGTAAAGTATTCTATTGGTGTATTTCTTGAGTATTACAATAAATACTACAACCAGACCCATTTGATATGTAGTCTTGAATGAGAACGCATTTTTCACTTTCCGAACGTAATTAACATCCTTGTGATATTCCACTTTTATTAATCTATGGCTTAATATAGATGTTACTTTGCATGCTGAGTATGGTAACAACACAAAATTTTGTTACAGACAAAACGATCGCCGATCCCGGAGTACAATGAATTGGAAAAATCGAGATTGGCAATAAAGTCTCAATAAACTTGCTGCGTAGTGAAATAACAATAAAAGGAATTTAGGGCGTTACGTGCGCAATCATGTGTGTCGTTTTGTATATGATTTGCTATCGCGATTTGTGTTGTGTGTGGTTGTGAAGTGGTGTGGTTGGGGTGCAAATGCGAAGGCGGCGCGGGTGGGCGGTGGGGCGAGAGGCGCGGTGACTGCGCGAGCGCACCATGCGGCAGGCACTGGCGTTGCTGCTGCTCGCTGCCGCATGTGCCGCTGCCTCTGCGCAAATCGCTTGGACACCGATTTTCCTTGATGGCAGCAGTAAGTACCTATGCAAGTAATACATGCTAGCTTGTAAGGTATTACGGTAATAGAAGTAGGTAATCATTTATAGTTAGTTAGTTCTACAACACTTTTTAGAGTTTCGTTTTAAAAAGCAACTTTGCTCTGTAGAATGTTGAGTAGACAATAGAGTCCACGAGTCTGTAAAAGTATGTTTTTGTACCGTTCTGTAATCCAGTTGTGCAAAAAGGCATTTTAGTACCGTTATATTTGTTAGCTTCTTATGGGGGAATCATCAGATTTGAATTGTAGGTCTTATTTAGAGGTTTTTACAGTTCAGCTATGCACTCAGTTTGTGAAAATGTGTAATAAATTGGGACTCCGTGACTATAATAAAACATAAAACATGGCGCTTGTGTAATGAACCGTTGGGGCTCACGGCCGCAGCGCGGCGGACGGGGCGGCAAGTCGCTAACGACTCGACTCAGTGGCGGCTGGGCATTGTCAAATCTGGAGCGAGATAATTCCATTGGCTTTTGTAGGTTTATAGGGTCATTCCATAAAAGTGAAATGTATTTGTTGTTCGAAAGTTATTTATATTTCGAAAGCACAAATTTTATTATTTCTTTTTTAGAATAATAAGAAAAAGTAAAAGTTTGAGTCAATTTACTCACTTCTATGGCCTATTTACAAAGTGTATTGCCTGTACTGCTTTTATACTATTATTTCATGTTCTAGTAAAGCCTCTAGGAGTAAGGTTCGAGTTCTTAGGTTTTCGCGATTGTTACACATAGGAAATGAAACTGTTTTTCCGGATTTAATCGCGTATATTTGTTTTTTCAAACAAACCGACGTTTCGGACCCTTTACAGGTCCCATGGTCACGGTTGACATGCGTTAGCGTCTAATAGTCTGTGCGGTTGACTGAGGTGGTACAGTCTTCAACCAGTTATGTGTATTATTGATGCAAACCACCCTATTTTTTCACTATAGTTACAATAGTTATTAATTAAATGCCTTATTTTAATTTTACAAAGAAAACATTCCAATTTACGCTACATTAAGTTTTACAAATTATTTTATTGACTTCATAATAAAATATAGACTTAAAAATATGGAATTTTCAATATTTTGAGTAAGGAAAAAATTACCTAAATTGTCAAAAATAGTCTTTCAATTGGTGTATTCACAAAGCTCTCAACAATTCTTTCGGTGTGCATTCCAAACAACTTCTTAGAGTCGTATTCTAGAACTCTACTCAATGCTGAAGTCAGGATTGCACTGGAAACACAAGCACTAGAAATACGACTCTAATGGCAGGGACTTGAGTATGATTTCGAATGCTTTAAACCATACTCAAATCCTGACTTGAGCATGGAATAGAGTTCTAGAATACGACCCTTAGAGTTATTTAAAGTTAATAAACAACAAACATAAGCACACACAAGTTAAAAACACAAAAAATTCAAATTAGTCCATTCCATGTTGTTTTTGTTAATCTCGTGATGCTATTTTTTTAAATTATATACATTTAATTCGAACTTTTAAAAATCATTGTGCAAATAAAAGGTTGCATCTGTGTTATCATCAATGAGCGGGAAAGGGTGTTCCACGGACATGGAAAAATGTATAGATATATAGTTACGAGGAGTGACATAGAGTTGTTAAAACCACCAAATTTTAATTCTTTACTTTTTTCAAAATCTGATTTCCGGTTGGTGCTAATGGTTTTACTGCACCGTAGTACAAAACTACTTATCTAAGAAGTCAAAGTTGGATTTTAAAGTAATTCTAGTGGTGCCATGTAAAAAAAATGCTGTAGATGGTATGGTGGCTGTACTTCCCTGGACAAACTCTTTCACAAGGAGCTTTACTGCTACTCAAATTATGATAATGACGAAGTGTTAATAACGCTGACGCAGCTGATGATGCTTATATGATGATGCTGATGCTGCAGACGATGCTGATGCTGCTGATGCTGCTGATGGTGGTTTGATGCTAAAGGTTCTGATGACGCGGATGGTGCTAACAATTGTGATGGTGCTGGTGCTGGTGCTGCTGATGAGCGCGGATGGTGCTGATGGTGACCATGATGCTGATGGTGATCATGATGCTGATGGCGATCATGCTGCTGATGGTGATCATGATGCTGATGATGCTGATGATTCTGATGGTGCTGATGATTCTGATGGTGCTGATGATTCTGATAGTGCTGATGATTTTGATGGTGATGATAATTCTGATAATGCTGATGATTTTGATGGTGCTGATGACAACATCGATGTCACATCTGGCCATCAGTCAACATCAGCACCATCTGAATCATCAGCACCAAGGGCATCATCCGCACCATTAGAATCCTCAGCGTCACCAGCACCGTTAGCGTAATCATCATCAGCATCGTTAGCTCTATCAAAATCAGCATCATAAGCACTATCAGCACTATCCGCATCATAAGCACCATCAGAATCATTGAAATCCGGAATTCGAAAAAGTAGTGAATTACAATTTGGCGGTCTTAACAACCCTATGTCATTCCTTGTAGCTATATCTATACATATATCTATATGTTTGGAACACCTTTTTCCGACTATTGGTTATCACATTGTCGTACACCTTACTTGTAATACTTCGAAGCGTAGGTTTTATTTTTCCGTACTTGTTTTGTATTGAAATAAAAATAGATTTTATGAGCAATCGTTCAAGTGCTTGTCGAGCCTTATTTGACTATTAGAAACTACCTACGTATAATCGTGTGTCATCTGATCATCTCCGATTATTTGGCATAGCCTAAGGGGGCCATTTATTATGCGAATGGTTTATCGAATTTTCAATTGCTTCAAATGTGGGAAAGCTGGTCCTACTCATTCACTACCTAATTTTATTTTACATTTAAAATTTAGGCTCTTGTCGGTGTAGTAAACGTGCTTAATGTTATGTCCCAATATTTTAAAACTCTACATGTATTAAATCGATTGTGTGTGAATTCTTTTGATTTCATTAATCAATGGAACAATTGCCAGTTACGACGTTGCGACATTTGTTGTTTAAGTAAAATAATTTGTTGTTTAAATAGAAACTAGAATTTTTTTTTTAATTTACCATTGGCTTATACATTTTGCTTTTAGTTTTATTTTGATTTTAGATGCGAGCAATTTATACAAAGTACCTTTTATCTTGTTCGAATTAATTTTCAATCCAACTCTTACATTTAGAAAATCAAATTATATTATACAGATATAAAACACAGAACAATAGATACAGTAGAAGTGATTAGTTAGCGTCTGACTATAGATGATCAAACGAACTTCGAGAAGTGAAGTTCGATCACTATTATGTGAGTCGTTTCATTGGAAAATATAATATTTAACCAGGTAGTAGTAGTCCTTAACTTTCATTTGTTAGATCCATTCTCGATTTTGGAAGCGTGGTTTGGAATCCATTCTACAAATGTAACATCGATCGAATAGAAAGAGTCCAACGGAAATTCATCAGGATCTTAATTTTCGTCTAATTGTCCAATTGAACCATACGAATACTCTCTTAGGCGTAATAAATTACTTACCTTACAAAATCGCCGTAAGAAATCTGACATGGTTTTTCTTTACAAAATACTTAACAATATGGTTGATTCACTGACTCTGTTATCGCAGGTTAATTTTATAAATAAAGCTCGTTTACCAGCACACCACCAACGTAAAATAAAAATTTTCGTACCACCACGACTCCGTAAGAATTATACGAGAAACAGTTATTTTCATCGTTCGTTAAATTTATATAATAATACATTTTGTGACACGGATATGTTTGGTATCTCATTGAACAGATTTAAGGTAAGCATACACAACAAATTATATAGTAGTAATAATACTTCTTAGCGGCCTAGTCGGGACAGTTTGGCTATGAAGACTTTACTCGCAGGTTTACATCCCGGTTAATTAGTTTTGTTTTAATTTTCTTTAGTTCTAAGTAGTAATTTGTATAAGTACCAATATGGTTAACCATTCGCTTTTGGTTCAAAAACGCGTTTGTTTTGTATTCCACTTATATATTTAAGCCCTTTTAGTACATGTTATTAATATTTAAGTGTAATATTCGGTACTCGTTGTCTATAGTATAGTTCAAATCTTTGTATTAGTTCATATTGTAATGACTCTTTGTACCAAAATAAATTAAAAAAAAACTTACTAGGCAACATTGCATGGTTTTTAGAGAACAAAAATGTTTTGACGTCGACACTCCCTACCAGGCATCACCCGCCATTTTCTATCCTCGTTCCTTTTAGAGTGGGAACCAAAACTTATTTGTGAGTTTCAGAATCTTTACTTCTGATATGACGATGTCAAGGGAGGGTGTTGATTATATCTTCGAATGAAGCTCATATAATAGTGATCGAACTTCACTTTAAGAAGTTCGTTTGATCATCTATTATATTTCATCGCTTCAGTCTCGATATAATATTTAACCAGATAGAATTTTAGAGTATTCAGTTTTGCTTCTAGTTGATTTTATGTAAATTAAAAACCAGAAGCTTAATGGTAAATTATATTATATTTTTCTTAAAAATATATATAGATATGAACATACAACGATCTCTCTCTTGAGATCACAATCATAACAATTTTTAATTCATACATCATATAATAATTTTATAAATAAAGATTATTATTATTATTAATTTGGAATAGCATAATTTGTCGTTTTTGCGTTTTTAAGCAAATGGATCTTGCGAACGTGTGTTCGTCTTGAGTAAGTATTAGTCTTAATTAAATTTTTGAATTGATATTCAATTATTTTTTGTGAAATTACTCCACTAGTTTGTTATAATTATTAATACAAAGATCGAACACTCAGAAAAAACACTCAGAAAAAATTCCTTCGATCCGGTCGGATTCGAACCGACGTCTTCTTGCATACCGTGCCAGACGCTATACCAACTAAGCCACGGAACGAACCAACGGACCTCACGAATTTTTCTATGTGCTTGCGTCGTGTCTTTGTACTTGATCTGTCAACGACTTTGAAGTATTAGTTTATTATAAAATCTAGTAAAGGATGTGAGATGTCGGAGTCCAACTCGCAGCCTTGCGTATAAGCTCTATCGGCACCTCAGCCACGCGCGCGGCCGGCGTGGAGGCGTACCGCGTGCTATGCGCGCCGAAAATTGCTGTGTCCGCTACGCCGCATCCTGACATTCCTGAAACTGAACGCCGATTCCTGAAACCAAGAGACAAAAATAGCGTATTTGGCATTGGTGCGGGATGCAAAAGATCAATCTCGGGTGGTCCGAAACGTCTGACAATGGTCTGGAAGGCGCGAGAGGATTACTCCCATTATCCTGCGCTTTTGCACCATTGCCAAATTTGTTTCCTTAAATCGTTAAGGTAGGGGTATTGGATCCCACCCTTGCGATTTATACAACTGTTCGCCGTAGTATTGCGAACTCGCAACAATATAACACAATCAGATTCTATTAATATAATATAAGAATACTGCAATTCTTAGTAATTGATATGGTGCTACTTCTCAACAACCTTCCGTTGGCCTCCTGTGATACTCGCGCCACATACGGAATCCTAACCGGTGCGCGGTGTATCTGTATAATTTCTAATATAAAACTTGAGGTTCTCATGTACGATAAAGCCGAGTAAATATTTTTCTGTCAACCAACTCAAATCACTTAGAATTATATCTGGAAGATAAATTGTTGTTTCATAGTTACCGTCATGTTTTTGAAGACTTAGAAATTTCTGTATTTCCAGTAATTTTTTAAATGACCAACCGTATTTGGTGGCTGGGCAAGCTGAGATGAGGACACCAATCAATTGAGCATACTCACGTATATCGGGGTACATCGGGGTAACCTCATTATTTTTTAAAATAATGTGTAGGTAGTGTTAAAGTAAATGGTAAATTTTTTGACGTTTTTCTAAAGGTAAACTTATACTTCAATTTCAAGAATAAAAATTGAATCTTAGAAATTTATAAACTTAACATGGTTGTAACACAGACTTGCCGTAATTAACGATGAAGCCTAAACATTGCAATAAGTTAATGGTTGCATTAACATTATTAATGCATCGTCATAATATACCACGGACTTAAATCCTTGTTGTCTCAAATGTGTTACAACTTCTTTCATGATTTTGGTAAAAATTTTCGATGCTGTGGACCGTATGCCAGAGCAGTAAATTCATAGGTTTCAATTTCATTCGAACCACAAGGTAAATACTGAAATCTGTGGTTCTTTCGATCTGCTTCGCAGATAGATGTCAGCGAATACACCTCTTTCAGATCTTTTGGCCATGAAACTCCTGCGAAATATCAATTTTGAGGCAATTCGATAGTCCTCCATGTTAGAGTGAGTTTTTATTACAAATTTGTTAAAGGACGTTATGTTCAATATAAAACGACTACTACCGTTGCGTTTTGGGGCTAAAAAAGTACTAGAAATGTATTGATTTTTTCTAGGACAGCACTTTGTCACTGCTCCCAAGTCAATTAAGTTTTTAATTGCGATATGCTATTTTTTATTGTCGTCTGGCGATAAACTAATGCCGGGTATTACGGACTAGTGTTGGTTCCTGTTTACATAATGGTATTGCTGGCGAAGCTGCATATTGGTTTTGCAGGTGGCTGTCGCCTAAAACCATTAACCATCTTCTTCACAATTGTATTAGATAGGTAATTGATAATTTCGTTATGGTGGCTAACTCACAGTTAACCCCGACGTAATTCTATTTAAAAAATATACTTTACTAATTAGCACGTAAATACTAATGCTATTCAAATTAAAATCGACCTGCAGTCGCTTTCGTTATCGTGGTTAACTCGTGGTTAAACCTCACGTAAATTTATTTAAAAAACTACTTTACTTATTAGTACGTAGGCATTAATATTGTTCAAATTGAAATCGACTCGCAGTCGATTTCGTGGTTAACTCGCTTAACCACGAAATTGTGGTTAACCACGACGAAACTAAAAAAACCTACTTATTATTAATATCAGCACGTAGGAACTAATATTGTTCAAATTAAAATCAACTCGCAGTCGATTTCGTCATCGTGGTTAACTCGCAGTTAACCCCGTCGTAATTTTATTGGAAAAATTCTTTGCTTATTAGCAAGTAAGAACTAATATTGTTCAAATTAAAATCGACTCGCAGTCGATTTCATTATCGTGTTTAACTCGCGGTACCCCCGAGGTATTTTTATTATAAATCATGTAAAATGCACATATTAGTATATCTGTTCGGATTTTCATCCACACATGTTATATTTGGTTATCGGGGATAACTCGCATGTAGGTTAGATTCACATTTACTATGTATGAAAGCGAACATTTACTATCATTGCGGAAGAAGCAAGTAGTGCATATATATGATAAAAATGAATATTTTCTTTTTTATTATTTTCATTTTTTAGGAGCATAAGAAAAAATGTTACTTTGTTCAATGTCCGACTCGTCCGATGATATTATGATCCTACAACGCCGGCGACGTTTGGCATCTGTTTTTTCTAATTATTTCAGTTTATTTTTATAATAGTCGAGTTTTTCGAAGTTTGTTCGCTTTGACATTTTAACGGAGCTGTGGAGGTGTGCTTGTCGCCACACACGAAAAAGGGATGAGGACAGAAAATGGCGGTTGATGCCTGGTAGGGAGTGTCAACGTCAAAACATTTTTTTTTTCTCTAAAAACGGTGCTGTGTTGCCTAGCAATTTAAGAAAACTATCTGGTTAAATATTATATCGAGAATGAAGCGACGAAATATAATAGGTCTCAAAAGACCTATTTGAACTCAGTCCGCCATTTTCGCTTTGTATGTATGGGTACGAAAGCACATTGTGCAAATTCTCTAACATCCTAGATGACGCCTTATTGTGTTGTTTTGGAATGTATGAACGATAGCCGCACCAAAAATATTACCCGTGGTGGTATTTCATATCATCGGAAAGTCATGTTTTAATCAATTTTCAATTTTCTGTTTATTGAAACTAAACTAATAACTCCGCTTAGTCGTCGTTCAGCAAGTAACCGCTAGATGGCAGCACCTTGATTGGGATTGAATATAATATCAAAACGTCGAACTTGCAACAATAGGTATTGATGGTATTGAATTTTCAGCGATGTGCCAACGTAAAGTTTAAATTATATTAACAATTCAGAATTTGTTATTTCTTTTTAAATTTGAAACTACGACTAACCAATATCAAGATTTTGTAGTGTTTCAAATTCAGACCGTGTGAGTTTAGGCGATGTCGGGTCTGGTAGTAATCGAGGATTAAGGTACTTCAATTGTCTTTTTTTCTTCCGTGATATAAACCAATCAGTGGTTTAGTTGATTTGTTGGATAATGCACTATAAGTATTATACGTTCAATCGATCAATCAAACGGCACGCATAATTGTAGTAGCTTAAAAAAGTAATGAGCGGAAAGTACCGCTCGTTTGGTGCTTACATTAACGTAATTGTAAATTTTGGCAAAATTAATTTAAGTCAAAACATCTTTAACAAGTGTTTATTCCCGTTTGGAGAAAAATCGGCAGAAATGTTAAATTTATATGTATTGTAAAAATACACAAAGTTTTATTAACACGTTATAAATTTGAAATAATTTAAATTTAAAAAAAGCACCAAATAAAGCGGTACATAGATTACCGAAAAAATGAAAATTCAATGACATAATCAATTAAATATGAAGTGCTTAGTTTTTATTACGTGTGTGTTATTTATTGGTGCAGGTCAGGTGGACTTATGGACGCAGTCGTCGTCAGGATGTACCTGCCCAGGTGGGGGTGGTGAAGACTGCGCGTGTTGTGTGCGCGATGGCGCATGCCCGTGCGGCGAGATCGCGCCCACACGCTGCGCACAGTGCGGCCTTGAGCAGTATTGTGCCAACAGTAAGTTTAATTCTATACCGTTATTTTTTCAAATCGCAAAGACCTGAATGGTCACTGCACCCGTCACCCTGAGACATACGTTTGACAAGTTCCATGTGCTAGTAATTTACCAGCACACTTACCCTTCAAAACCGGAACAAGTAATCCTCACATTACTGATTGGCGGCAGAAATAAGTAAGATGGTAACTTCCCCAAGCGAACTCTTTAAGAAGGAGCACTACTACTATGAGTACAATGTTGTACTCAGTTCCGACTAATAATATAACTGAAATAGAGAAACGTCGCACACACTCCCGTGTTCGAAACCGGAGATACTTTAATTGAAACCTTACAACAGAAAACATTCCACGCTTTGTTTCTTTAAATCAATAGAAAGCATATGCATGATACATGCTCATGTTCTAATATGCTCTCCGTTACATTATGCATTATGCAATACATATATCATATCACACTGTAATACTTACTGAAGTTAGAAATTATCTGCAATTTTCGCTCGCCCAATCACTTTCAAAGGCGAAAAGATAACTAATCGGTATAGTTATCGAAACACGTTAAATACATTCCAAGTCCTTAAATAAGGTTTTCTCGCGAAGTAATACATATATTGCGCACGAAGACGGTCACTCTCATTAGCTGGGATTAAAATATTTTAAGCTAGCGACCGGTTTCTAGGACAAACAATAGAGATGGACGACGATTCGAAAACTGAGCTGAATCTGCTGCTAGCAGCTCTCCGAGTATTCGCATTGAAGCCCGGCTAATGTTTACATTTTCCTTGAATAACAGACCATTATTAACCCTACGCCAATACTAAAGCTGTAGAGCAATTTTACTTGTTCTGTGAGATTTTATTCCCAATTCGCTCGCTCCGTTGTTTATCACGTTTCCTTAAAATTTTGTCTTATGCTCATTTTGTGTGGGCTTTATTTGGGTCGGTTTATAACGTTGCAAATTGTTAACATTATATTTAAATTGAGTTAAGTGAGAGCCGGGCTCAATAATATACCACCCCTCTTTATTAAGCGCTGCAATAAGGCACTGACCTTGTCTTTATGTATTATTTTAAATGTTTCATTAGAAACAGGTGAATTTCTAGAGGAATGGAAGAGAGCAAGAATTGTACAAATATCTAAATCTGATGTCAAAAATTATAGACCCATTTAATCTTGTTTTTGCAAATTTATTCGCGGAGCGGTGTCGACCTTATGATACACAGTCACATATCAATTCCTCATTATCCGATTTTAGCATGATTTTAGAAGTGGTCGGTCTGTAGATAGTAATTTAGTTTCCTTTACCTCCGAAATAACGCCTCAGCTTGACAAGGGTTCTCAAATTTGATGTTGTTTATACAGATATCTAGTGCGTTCAACAGAATCAATCATGCATCGTGCTTTAGAAACAAAAAGCGTATGGTATTGAGAACGTTTTATTAAACTGGTTTAATGAAACGTCCGATCCGATCTGGTGGATATAGAGAGAGAACGGAGAGCCCTTGCAGCCAGATCAAATATAGCAAATGCCTCATCCAGGCCCACTGGACTTAATTTAGTGTACATTGATAAAATGTACACTAAATTAAGTCAGTACAGTGTAAATGTACGAAACTCACGTATTTTAATCAACTGAATACGACCTTGAATTTGCCTCCACAGTGTAAAATCCAATGTACACCGACCCGTCTCAGCGCATAGAAAATATTCAGCGCGCCTTTACAAGGCATATAGACTTTATTTCACCCAAATTATCACATAGACGTCCGAGTTTTTTTATGTTTACATTACTGTGGCTGATTTTTCTTTTCTTCATAAATTGGTCGAAATCATGCTCTGCAATACTTGCAAACGTAAAGACTTCAGTACCATACAATACCCCCGATCTCGCTTAGCTAAACCTTTTAATATCCCTTCATGCCGAACTGGTAGTACTATTTCTATTTCTATTTCTATAATAATAATAGTTAGCCTGTATATAGTATCACTGTTGAGCACAGGTCTCCTCTCGCAGTAAATTAACTCTATTAAAATTATAATGCTTTGCAGATGTGTGCAGGTTTCGTCTCGATGTTTTCTTTAAACTCATGGTAAATTTCAAATTAAATTTCAAAATCGAACCAATGATGATTTGACCTTCCGTCTCTCAAGGAGAGGGCTCCTTGAGAGACGGAAGGTGAAATCATTAGGCTACTACGGCTTTACTTTCGGTCATGATTGACAATATCTGCGTTGTGAAATGAAGTATCAATAGATAACGACGCTCATTATTCCGTCGTTGTATGAGGAATATAAGTAAATAATAAAAAACCCTTGCTTCTCTTCTGTTTTATTACCTGACAGAACTCGCATTAAAGATCATATTTAAATAATTGAAAATTTGTTATTTCTCGTGACACCTTGACTAATATTTTCAATTGCAAATTGTTATCAGTGTGCAACATCACAATCGATTCGCGCATTCTCAAGAGCAAGTCTGGGAAGACATTTGGTCAGATCAAATCTCCTTCAATCGAGGGCCCAGGATCCTGCTCTTACTTTCTTCAGCCAGACGCTGGTCAACGGGTCGAGATACAGCTTTATAGGCTTGTCTCCGTTGGCCGATTTAATGGTTCCATGTGAGTAATTACAAGCGCTTTACATTATTTAATAGATAATTGAGAAGATATTGTAGTATTTATACCATAAGGGCAAAATTTTGTGACAATGTATCGCATACATATGTATAAATCTCCTAATGGTAAGCGACACGCCTGTGCATAATGCTGCAGTGCCACACAGAGCTTTAAATTGGATTTGAGGGGCACTGCTACTGCGCCCATTACTCTAAGACAGAACTTAAAAAAATCCCATGTGCCTGTAACTTTACCAAATTCTGCTTTATCTCTTCTAACTACCAGCGAGTAGTTAGAAGAGATAAAGCAGAATTTGGAAAACAAGTGCGGCTTGTTTAGGTTGATAAAGGGGTTGACAAAACTTAACATAGGGTCTTAACTAACCTTATCGTGGTTGGGGAGCTCAGTAGCTGCATGCAACCCAGTCTGTAGTGAAGCTTAGAAGCAAACGCAATGCCTTTCCGCGTTTCCCTTTGATCAGCAGAGGGCACAGTGGAGAGTCTACGCGGATACTCAGCCTCCAGCTGAGCTAGGGAGATGAGATAGATCCGTTGTCCCGAGACACGCTTGCCAGATATGGTGGGTACCGGTTCGCCGGGATGGATCTGTCAAATAGAGGATTGCGGAATACGATGTCTTCTGCCCTGCGCGACGCGTCTGTCTCAGGACAGACCTTGGTCTCAGCCAACATCGGGCAACTCGTAACCCCGCATTGAGCGGGAACGGAGGTTCTTTTCACTGAGAGAAGGATCACGAGGAAGAAAACCTCTTTAAAAAATCACCCCAATTCCAAGCTTTGGCGCCCGGTGATGGGATGTATGGCTGGAGGGTATCCACTCATTAGAGCGCTCCACTAGAACAGTGAACCCCCTTAAAACACAAGATACATGTAGAAGGCTAGTTTTGAAAATGGTCCACAGGCGGGTCCCCGAAAGGGGGAATCCCGCCCATCCGCTTCGGTGGATAGCAGCTCGTACTCTGGGTTGGGGGCAAGAACTGCCTCGTGAGTCGGCTGGAAGCAGACTCCCGTGAACACCACCTGGCTACGGATCTGGATATAGATATTTCGCACATTTCAGTAGATGGACATGAGGTGGCTGTAACATCGAAAGTTGCGGCGGTGCAGGTTGCGCGCCTACCCGCAGATATATTAGAACGCTACACGCGCTCTAAGACATTGGCAGCGAACGTTGTGGAGGAGAACTTTGGGGAGGCAATAATTGCTTCGCACCATGGACCACATTGTGTCAGAACGTACGGCAACTCCCGGAGTCACAGTCAGGCTCTCCAAACAGCCTGAATATGATTGAATCCCTGACGGAAGGGGTGCGTTGTAAATTTTGGCAGGACCGCCGGAAGCGGACCCGTACAAATGCTGAAAACCGGTGCGGATCTGAGACGGATTCCAACAGTGACTTTACACGGGTTGCAAAAGTTCCGACAACTGGCCAACGCGTTGGTTTGGCTAAAGCGAAAGCTCAATGCATGGCTGCCAAATCTGACGAGATGAGCATATCTGCCGAGGAGGAGATCACACAACTGCTTCAGAGAACCAGAAACAACAGTGTGACTCGGTTGTCAGAGCGGTCAATCGGGCGGTCAAGAAGAGGATGCGACCGCGTCACCGCTCAATCAGCAGGTGCTTGACTGTGTGGCGGTAATTCACAAGGTCGCCGCCAAATCGAGGAATCTCAAAGGCACATCCCAACGTGCCCTTAAAGACGCAGCATCCTCAATTAAATAGGCTGTTGAGGTGTTGCACAGGCGTTCCATCACAGAAGAGACAAGGAAACTGCAAATGCATAACAACCACTTATAGTCTGAGTTGTCAGAGCTCCGAAAGGAGATTGAGGAGCTCAAAGCTGATCTGAAGCGGGCGAGCACGACATCGGATTCTGCCAAAGAAAGGCTTTCAAAACCCGCAGTGTGTCGTCCATCAGGGGAATTGGAGATACAAGAGCTGACGCGTTCAATTATGATACAAGTAGGTACCATGCTAAATGCACGGCTTGATGCACTAACAGACAGGCTTCTGCCCGAAGAGCGCCTGCACCCACCGTTGGCTGCAGATAGAAGAAACAGGGACATGCTTCCGCGACCCGCACCGATCTGTACAAAGGCAGCAAAAGCCAAAGGTGGAAATGCACCAACCCCAACTCTGGCAAGGCCAGAATCGCAGCCGGGTTCATCAAAGGCCACAACCAGAGGAAAGAAATCGGCTTCCTCCAAAGCGGTTGCTGCACTTCGGCAACCCCGCCCGCTACCGCCACCCCCTCCAAACATGGAAGAGGGTTGGAATGTGGTGGCCCGCCGCGGTGCAAAGAAAAAGACGAAGCGCTCACAGGTTCAGACCCCACAGCAGTCCAAGGGCAAAATAAAGCGAAGAAAAGGGCGGAAGAGGCCGCCGCGTAAACTCGAACCCCCTCAGTCAGCCGCCGTTATGCTGACAATGAGGCCGGGAGCCGAAGAAAAAGGGGTGTCATATGCTACACTCATAGCCGAGGCCAAGCAGAAAATTGCGTTTGACAACTTCGGCATCAATGACCTTAGATTTAGGCAAGCCGCCACTGGTGCTCGAGTCTTGGAGCTGCCAAAAGGCACCAGTGGCGAAGTGGCAAACGAGCTCGCCAAAAGGCTCGCCGCAGTGCTGGACCCAGCGAGCGCCTCGGTCTCCAGGCCTATGAATTGCGCTGGATTGCGTGTATCAGGCTTGGACGATTCCATTGAGGCAGAGGAAATAGTGGCTGCGGTCGCTAGGGTTGGGGTTGTCCCCCAGAATCGGTGAAGTCCGTGGAAGTTAACTTGGAATTCACCGGTCTTGGGGCAGTGTGGTTGCGCTACCCGGTAGAGGTTGAAAAGAAGGTGGTGGAGGGTGGCAGACTCCTTGTGGGCTGGACGTCAACGCTGGTCAAACTGCTTGACGCCAAGCCCATGAGGTGCTTTAAATGCCTCGAGCTGGCCCACGTAAGGGCCAGATGTACTAGTACTGTCGACCGTAGTGACCAGTATTTCCGGTGTGGCAGTACTGGGCCAGTGGATACCAGGCAACACCCCATTGCACGGTTTGTGCCGCCGGAAGGCTCGCGAATCACAGAGGTGGAGGCAAGGTTTGCGTTACTAGCAAGCCCAAGAAAAGATCTGGCAGAGTGGTCCATACACGTCGTCGTGATCGCCGAGCCTTACCTGGTCGCGACCAGGCGACAACTGGGCTGGGTTTGGTGGCCATCATGGCCCCTCGAAAGGGTAGTGAGGGGCCATGGTTTTGTCTCGACCTTTGTAGGAGGGGTTATGTTCGTACTGTTCTCCTAACCGGATCCTTGCCCAGTTCGAACAATATCTGGTCAAGCTTGGCGCTCCGATTGACAGGAGTCGCTCCGACTTGGTGGTCGTGGCTGGAGATTTCAACGCCAAGTCCAGGGCGTCGCGATCTCTGGTGACTGAAGCACGTGTCATGTCGCTGGAGGACTGGTCGTTATTAACCGTGGATCGGTGAATACGTGCGTACGGCAACAGGGTGGCTCTATCATGGGTATCACGTTCGCAAATGCCGCCCTGACACGCCGTATCCAGGGCTGGGAAGTGCTCGAGGAGACAGAAACACTATCGTTGGGCCCTGAAGCGCCTGGACAGGAATTTGCTAGTGGAAACGGCCCTTGTCCAGGCCTGGGTACCAATACCCAAAGGTCCGGTCGTAGCGAAGAGGGAGGTGCAATGGCTGGGGGAGGCGTTAACCAACGTGTGCGAGACAGCAATGCCACGTGTTAGACCTCATCCCCCTCGGCCCAAGGTGAGCTGATGGTCTAAGGAGCTCGCCCAGCTGCGAAAATCCTGTAAGGAGGCAAGACGCCAGCATCACCGGTGCCAAAGGCGCCGTAGGAGAGATGTGGAGGAGCTTTCGCGACTCTGTAGGGCCTATAGCGAAGCCTGCAAGTTGTTGCGGGCTGCTATCGGCAGGGCAAGGGACCTGGAAAGAGATGCTGGAGACCCTTAACAGCGATCCGTGGGGAAGGCCGTATAAGGCGGTGCGGTGCAAATTGTTCCCCTGGGCACCCCCATTAACGCAGAGTCTCTAGCCCGAACTACTGGATTAGGTTGTGAGAGCCCTATTACCAGAAAGGGCGCACCACACACCTCCGCCGATGGCGCCAGCAGCGGAACTAAACCAGAACGAAGGAGGTAGCACGGGTGCATACAAGGTGACTGAGGCAGAGTTGGGTGCAGCGGTGTTGAGGCTGCGTGCCAAAAACACCGCCCCCGGCCCGGGTGGTGGCTCGTTTTGTCGTCCGCTGAGTGTTCTTCCTATGGCGAAAACGTTGAGGACCGATGACAATTTGTAGAAAGCTCAAAGTCCACTGCTAAGATGATTCGATGACGGCAAAGTCTGCTCCTGTTCTTGAAGATTAATGCATGAAAATATTCAACACAAGCAACTTACACGATTTAACCTTCACCGTGTCCGCGAAGTATCAAATTAATTTACTTCCATTTTTATTCACATTAGTCGTTCCGACGTTGCGTATGGTCACGAAGCACGACTGTCGTTGGCCCGAAAGACCATCGGAGTAAGTGCAACCTACGAAGTAAGTATGAGCTTCATTGCGGAAGCAGTCACATAGTACCGTATTTCGTGGTAGACCTCTCTGAACTTGAATTGTTACTCGACCTCGGAAATTTTGTAATCTTTCCTTTCAAACCAAAAAGCCATTAGGGATCATTAGGGTCACTTTTAAAATAATTAATTACTGGCAATTTTTATGTTGGTTTCTTGTATTCAACAAAAATCATCACAAACCTTACTTCAAGATTACTGTTATAAATAGTCTAATCGAATTTTGGGGAAAAATATGGAAATTGTGATAACTGTAAAACAATCTGAGGTGAAAACTCTATATGTTTTTGTTTCATATTAATTCTACGTCGAATTTGGCTAGAGTATAAATAGCAACCACGCAACCTCCTTTTACACTCCAATACTCGTAAACGAAACAATGCTAATTCCTGTAAAAGCTCTTTCATTTTAGTCATGATATTTTATCGAATAAATACCCTACGTCAGTCGTCGTTTCTCGCAATTGAAAATATGTTTATTTGTGAAATTGGGATCGGTTGGGAAAGGAAAGAATCTGGTGTAAAGGGTCCGCAGCCGGTAGGGTTGTCATACGCAGGCTGCTGTGATCAATGTCCCGTCAAATTGAATAGGTATAGCGAAACGTCTTTGCCGGATAAAACGCGATGTTATTTTTTACCAACAAATATAATATATACAGAATGCTACTTACACTTAGAAGCAATGAAAGCAATAATTTGTTTTATATATTAATTTATGAGTAATTCTAAGTATCAAAGTATAAGTGAATCGGTAACTTACTTTTCCTAATTTGTGCGTCCCCAGACATGTTAAGCGACAACATCGCGGTAGTCACCAAAATGCTTCGTATGAAAGTTAATTTCATAAAGTCACGTCGACTACGCCTCGTGTTGCGCGTTTTAGGATAGAGTTAGTTTGTAGGTCAATGATTTTGACACACATTTTGACATTGGCAGTTGCGTGGGGGGCTGGCTGCAGTTGGGTAGCGCGAGCGCGGTTCGCGCGGCGGCGGGAGCGGCAGAAACGCGTCTTTGCGGCGCCAACGAACGGTACACGCCACCTGTCGTGCTGTTCGCTGACCACGGTGCTTCTGTACTTGAGTTTAGGTTAGTACTATGACATTACACATAAGCAATATAAATTCTTGGCACTGAATTTAAAAATAGATTTAAATTAGTAGGCGGACTAAATTGCTAGCATTTTCTATTTCTTCATCTGCAAGTCACTCAGGCGGGGCTTTATTTCGAATCAATTACTCCAAAAACAAACCATAACATTAAGGTTCCTTCAACATTTATGAAACGATGGGGGAAGCGGATCATACCTTATCTTTTACTGAAAGGCTAACGATGTCCTTTAAGGATCCTATTGTTTACAAGTAACACTTTAGAAGATTTTATGTTGACTTCGTTAATGAGTTCAGTGACGCAATACAAGGATAAGTTTCCGACGCTCTGTTTTAACAGTTGAACAAAAACGCGGATTGTCGTTTGTCGCGATTGCATAACCACTTACGTGCTTACAAACACAAATCGATCATTAAAGTTGTTTTTGTACGAATCCGTCCTATTCTACGGTTCGACGATGAAATCCACCGAAATTAGTAATAATTAATTACATTTTCATAGGGCAGTAGGCACTCGAACGAGTATTATTTCCGGTTAATACGGCGTTCCAGTTGTACTACTACAAAATTAATTCCCCAGTGCAGTTCATCCACTGCGGCACATTTGGTGGAAAGTTAGTTAAGGTTATAACAGATTTTACCCACCGCTATTTCCTGTGTGATGTGGTATAATTAACCAAAATTAGTTCCTTAAACAAATCTATTCCGCGGAATATTAATTAAAAAGGAACTTTTAAGAAAAACCCGATAAATGCTAAATGATTAGTCTGGTAACTGATGAAATCCATAGTACGGCCACTTTGCCAGCTAAAATGAAAGAAAAACAGTGTTCTCCCAAAGAAGACCCGAATAAACAAAACAGTAACGTAGGTGCGTGGCCCATATTCGTAGTTCGAATTGTAAATTGTGGCGGTACGACGGTGCGACGAAACAAAAGGTCTTAACAACGGAACCGGTAATGGTCGAATCGGATTCCTATCGCCTATCAGACCGCTGGCTGACGAATACCACAAATAGCCATCGACGCAACTCCGTCGCACTATTCCATGATGCACTCTACCGTGTATCTTGAATATGGAACAATTGATTTGGAACTTTATTTATTCTCTTTGAATTCCAAACTGCACTCGATAGCCGCTTGTGTCATATGGAAACTTTACGAGTGTCGATGCTCTTAGAATATTGCTCTCTGAAATGGTTGAGCGAGTTGTTAGTTCCGTATCATTAATAAACATGGAATGTACATGTGCAAACGACACGTATGGTTGAAACCGTATAAGCGCACAAAATTAATAGTGCTAAACTTTACTAATTGGCAAACATAGAAGCGGAGAAACGGTTTGTAAAGTGTTACTTATAAACCATATTGGTAACCTAGAATAGCAGATTCCAAGAGCTGACAAAGTTTTTTGAGTATTATTCTATAGTTTCTCAATAGTAACCATTTAATAAATAAATAATATATGTAAACCTTCGTTATATTGTTAACAGGATAACAGAGAAGACTGTGAGGTCACAATTTCTTGCTTTCTTCAGCTTTACTTCTCTTAGCAACACGCAAGGTGTGGGATTCCATCCAAAAGGTGGCTCCAGGATAGCACATACAGGTAACTACTAATATCATGGTGATTAATAAATACAAAACTTTGAACATTGCGTGCTAAGTGCCTTTTTTGTCCGCTTTTCTTCAAAGTACAATTCACTATAATTAATTATGATCGTTAATTAACCGTAATTGCAATAAAGGAGAGGTTGGGTTTTTTTACCTTTATTGCCCGTGGAACTGCCAACAGAACTACTAGTAGTTCCACGGGCAATAATAATCTCCCGTGGAACTACCAGAACTACTAGTAGTTACACGGGCAATAATAATCTCCTGTGTAACTACCGACAGGCCTAGTAGTATCACGGGTAGGTAATTGTTTTTGTCCGTGGTACTACCACTACTAATACGGGCAATAATACTTTCCCGTATTACTACTACCAAGATAAGAAGCGTTTTATTAATTTCATAAAACAAACGAACCAAAAGCCAAACAATACAATAATAACCTAACCTCAGTACAGAGTACTAAAAAACCGACCTCGAAAGGTCATTCATCCCCTAGTTTACAACCCCTGGCGGTCGAATATTTTCTTCAAATTTAAATGGGACCACTTCTCAGGTATCCTCTTTCTAACAAACATGAAACGTGAAAAACTACATTTTATAAGCTAATGCTCGTTCACTACGCTGACCTCCCTGAGAAGAACGAGCGAGAAACTCTAGGGATTGCTCATTTCAAATAAACTTAAATGCTTTGGAATACACTTTGAATTGAATTTGTGTGGAATTTAGAGCCATGTCATAATTTTCTCGTGCTGAAAGGGTTATTTCCATACATCTTTATCTAACACGTGGTCTTCAATTTTGTAATATGACTTTTCAATTGAAATACTTTTAATGTAAGTTTTAAACTTAGGAAATGGTAATCTGAATATATGCTCCGGAATCTTATTGTTAAAACGTATACAGTACCTATACTTAGTTAAACGAAATCGTGGTACCATAAGTTTGGACTTAGTTCTAAGGTTGAATAAGAATAAAGGTTGCAAATACAAATTGCTAGTTAAAATGCATTTTAACCGACTTCAAAAAGAGGAGGAGGTTTTCAATTCGATTGTACGTTTTTTTTGTACGTATGTTACGTGATAACTCCGCCATTTGTGAACCGATTTTGATGATTCTTTTTTTAGGAAATGAAACTATTTTTCCGGATTTAAACATTTACAGGTCCCATGGTCACGGTTGACTGACACGGTCACGGTGACATGGTCACGGACCTGTAAAGGGCCCGAAACGTCGGTTTGTTTGAAAAAACAAATATACGCGATTTAAATCCGGAAAAATAGTTTCATTTCCTATGTGTAACAATCGCGAAAACCTAAGAACTCGATTCTTTTTTTGTTAGAAAGAGGGTACCTCAAAAGTGGTTCCATTTAAATTTGAAGAAAATATTCGACCTCTAAGGGTGGTAAACTAGGGGCTGAATGATTTTTGAGGTCGGTTTTTTTAGTACTCTGTACTGAGGTTAGATTATTATTGTATTGTTTGGCTTTTGGCTCGTTTGTTTTATGAAATTAATAAAATGCTTCTTATCTTGGTAGTAGTAATACGGGATAATATTATCGCCCGTATTAGTGGTAGTACCACGGACAAAAACATTTACCTACCCATGATACTACTAGGCCTGTCGGTAGTTACATGGGAGATTATTATTGCCCGTGTAACTACTAGTAGTTCTACTGGTAGTTCCACTTCCAACAAAGGCTTTTTTAGCCCTACTACTGGTATAAAATGTATATAGATGTAAATTAAGCTAGGATGAAATCACCAGGGATATGGTCCAATGACAGACTGGAATATCCTATCAAACTGAAGACATTCAAGTTAGTTGATAGACTTTGTAATTTGCTCGTATCGGAGGAAACGTGAACAATGTCACACACCCACTGGCACCTGTCAGCGTCGCCATTGATATGTCATTCCAAACTATTTCGGGATCCATCATCATGCATTCTGAATAGATGAGTTTGCCACATACTCTTCATGTGCGCCTGATAATGGTAGCTGTGAATATGTATTCAACGACCATATTTACATTTACGGGCATGGGAAAAAGGGACAAACACAATTACATAATAAACGTTATGGCATAGGATTAGTTTTTCATACAAAAAAACTTTAGGTTCATCGCCTTTACCCACCCACAATTTTGGCGCAAAGTTTCATATGCAGAATTTCATATTCTATGTTGCCTTGTAAATAATTTTCGTCAAAATTGTAAGTTACACCATTAGTATTGTATGGGCCGATGTAAGCGTATATTAGTACTGTATGATATGGAGGAAACCTTATAATAGTTTCCTTCAATTTCACGCAAAATGGCGGTACTAGGGCGATCAGGTGATCGTGTATTTTGATAATGTACTCATCGTGTATTTCAGTCTGGCTAGTTAACAATTTGAGCTCTGATATTAGAAGCCTATGTGTAGATTGAGGATAATACGGTTTAGTGGTGTGGTAACGTAGGTAATTATTTAAACTGTCAGTTGGCAGTCCAGCCTGTATTTATTGCCCATTGTCTGCAAGTCTTTGAACGCAACGCAAGTGTAACGGACGTTGGTGTGACCCTCGTCACAATTTTGTTTATAAATACGAGGAGTCCCCTGCCAGGAATATTATATTATAATAAATTTCATACGTTGTATTTCTGTTGCTATAAATTATTACCGTCGGTCTACTTGTTTAAGAAATTCCGTGTACGTTTAAGAATCTCTGCCTTAATATATTTGCTAACATACTAAATTGTGGCAGCATTTCTTGTGTAAATTTTAACTAATAGCTTTATCATTTATTTTAAAATCCTGTGTCGAAATTACTTTATATGCTTTTCCAGTTAGTTAGATAAAATGTTTGCATACATTTGTAGTTCATTTATCAGCAACAAAGATTTTTTTGATACACCCAATACGATAACTATTGTTTAGAAAGTATACTACCGTAAAATAACAATACTGAATTGATATTAAATCAAGAAGTGTTTTAAAGTTTTAAGTTTGTCTTCTTTGTAGCGGGATCCCGCTCAAAGCTGATGAGCTATGCTGTAAATTTTGCTATTAAAGTGTACTTTCTGAATGTTCTAGAGTACATAAATTCCAAGTTTTATCTTTAGCAGCGCACATTGAAAACAATAACAAAGCTCACGATGATGCGACAACCTTGCTGGCTTGAGAATACGAGAAATTGTTTCCGCTAAATTGACACCCAGTATTTTCGCTCCACTGCTGCCGAAACAGTTGAAATGCTTCCTTGTAGAGCTTTTATTTGTGTGAAGTTGGTGTGGTATGGTAGAGAGGAGTGGTTTCCGCAACTAGACATCGTAGCGCCTATTTTGTGTGAGGTTTGTGCAATAAATTTCTTTTGCGGCGTGTGTTTTTTGTTATTTTGTTTATTACATATTCACTGTTTTTAAATCGTTGGCTAGTTCTACAATCATAAGTCGAGTTGCGTTTTTACTCAGATTGTGACTGGCTGTATCAAGATGTGTCGTGCCGCGGGGCGGGCGCGTGCGTGTTGGCGAGTCCCGGATATCCCGGATTATATCCGCCGCACCGTCGCTGCCGTTATCTCTTTGCCACCAACTCCGTACATACGAGGGTCAAAATCATATTTACCTCCATCCTGCTACCAAGAAAGTGAGTATTACACAAATTAACAAGAGTCGATTTATGGAAATTGTAATAAAACGTAAGAGCATTTTCAGAAGATTGATGGACAGTTATCTTGATTTTAAAGGTACTAAAGGTTGTACGTAATGTCAATGTTGACTTACTGTTTCGAAGTAAGGTTTATTATAATATTAAGTGCCATTAATTTGGGAAAACAGTAATTATACTGCTGTCGAGGTTTATACTATGCCGAATACAAAGTAATTGACATTACATTTGAATCGTGCCTTTTGGCCTGTCGGCATTTTACTGTTTCGTGACCAGCGTATATAATCTGTACATTCTCGTCACACATAGAGCCAAGGTCATCTCTGATTGTTATTTCTCATGTAAGCGTCACATTCATCTCACAAATGGTTCTCTCACATGCTATAAATAAATGACTTTGTAGGACAAAACCCATTGATTTAGCGACGGCGTTATCGGACTCCCTTATTTTGCTCTTCCCGAAATCGATTTAAATCCGAAAATGTATCCAATTCCTTGCGAGTTAATACTTGTTTCATGGTACATTATTCTAAAATAGGGCTAAAACAGGCCCACTTATACGTCATCTTTAATAACAATATTAAAGTTGTAGAAGTATGTTAATTGCAACTATCAAAACAATCGCCAGAAATTTGAGTAATGAAGCCGGACTTTTACTATGAGTTTACGGTGTCGGCAAATATTTGTATTAGAAAATTCTTATTCTTCCTGTGATCACTAGGTGTACCCATGATTTGTTATATGAAATTGTTAAATATTTTTGCGGCCGCTAACGACTACCGACGCAGTAATCTCGTAGTAGAGGTACAGGTACATATGTAAAGGGTATATATATGGTACGGCGATGTGATTAAAATTAGTTTTAAATTTGTGTGCACTTATTTTACATCGATAATAACGTGCGAGTGTCTCTCGATAATGTATAAGGTTCGTATAGTTATGTCAGACGAACTCTATTCCCTGTCCGAATGTATTTTTATCAAGCACCCGTATGAAATCCATTCGTTCGCGTTGTGAAAGCCGAACAATCGTTTCACAGTAAATAAAAGGACCTTCATCCTATCTCCCTTCCACCCCTGTGGACCCGTGATGTCGCGGTGACTGAAAATTTACGTCGAGTTCATCGACTTTCAAAAATAGCACATTCATTCCATTCAATTACTTTGTCGTTGAGGGGGGCATCTAAAATGACCGGCTTTTATGGTTTCATTATACGGCTTTATTTTGTCTGTTAAAGGAATATTGCGTCCTTGTAATTATTTGTTCCATTTTTCGTTTCCTGTAATTATAATTAAAATTATATAATATAGCAATTGTATTCAGAAATATTAATGCATCTAAGTGTTCCGCTTGGAACTTAAGTACGATTAGCATGCACAGCAAACTCGGCTTAGGTTTAATTGCAATTCGTTGGCTTCCCTTGATACGAGTTTCGTAATATAGCTACTTGAACCCTAACAAGACTTGCTCGTATTCCTCATAACAGCCTTAATGCTACCGATATAACAATGTCGCGGCTCCCTGGAGCGTAAAGTACAATGTCGTTTTATTCCAACTCCGAAGTAAAATCATTCTATAAATTTGCAGTGCTCAACTCACTTCTAAGCGGATTACATTTATTACTAAAATAGATATCAATTTTATGTAAGGAGATAAAAGATCCTTTGCGTGTAGTAGCGAGGGGAGTTTAAAATTTCTTAAAGAGAAGTACGCTTGGAAAGCTTTCAACGATATGCGATATTATTACATTTTTTTGCTCATCTTTATAAGTATTTTACTAGGCAAGCAAAATACCAGCTCCAAGTAGTTTCGCAATTCTTTTAAATGAACATAAACAGAGCTAACGTCGACATAAAACGGTTTGCTCAAAGGAGAGCTCGTGAGCTAGAAATAAAGGCGCTATCTTGCTGCAATACGTTTTCAGATACACTAATAGGTACAAGGCGAACACTAGTTTGTAACCACCGCTCTCTTAGAGTTAAGCAAACACATCCACTTTAAATTGGAAAGAAAAGAGCATATATTCAGACATAGTGTATTCGTAGATAAGCGATCGTGGAGAATAAGAGTTACGCTTGTGAGTATACCTGCGATACAAAATATATTGTAAATGTTGCACTTTAGTTTTCAAAACATGGATATTTGCATTGTGTTTGGTACACGATGTGGTAGTTTGAAACTGTAGCCATTTGGTCAGTGCACTTTATGGTTCTCTACAGAGTAAATACCAAATACACGTTACCGTGGACAGTACACAACTTTCAAAGTCGAATTTTGCCTTCATTATTATAGCAAGCATTTGGTTTGAGACATAATCTTAGCAAAGTTTAATGAATTGGGATATTGAGTTTTCTGAAAATGTTGTAGTTGTAGTCGCTAGCCTTGTAGGTACATTTTCGTTTCAAGTATTATATTACAGTTTTGTACAAAATATCTCGGCTGACTTGAGCTTTGAACAACATTCAATTAACATAATTATTTCTGACTACAGGTCTTGTTATAATGGAAACGACATAAAACTATCTTTAGTTTTCTCTCAGACAATCAGACTACCAGTTTAGATCGAAGTAATAAAGCCGTTTTCACTCTGCTGCATGCTTTATACAATCTCTACTTTCTTCTCATATGCTGTAATAATGTAATAAAGCATGATTACTTTTAACTTGGCATAAATATTTAATTGGGTTGAACCCAATTAAATACTTATGCCAAGTGCATTAGCTCACTGCAATTTCAATTAATCATATTGATGACGCTGTACTAGTTAAACACAATGTTTCTACTACAAATTGCCTGCATAATAATGTTCTTATACTCGCGTTCTCTAACATGTCTGTAACGTTTTTAGGAAAGGATAAATCGAGGCAGTTCTCTTTGAATAAGAAACTTAACAACGTCACATAATTGAAGAACGTTATATCTAAATTTAATAAAATATGTAATTTGGATAAAAGAGAAAGTGCTTGTAACAATACTTTAACCTAACTGAAATTTTCTTTGCTACCTTTCATTTTTGAACTCATTGTTCAGTTAAAAAAATACAAAGTACTATTGTTTGGCATTTTCATTTTGAGTTTACATTTAAGTTCTAAGCTCTGAAGAAAATTTTTTTATTCCATTGTAGGAATAGAACTTAACAAACGTTAACCAAAGGAATATAAAAGTCGTTTCTAATCAACATAATAGAGAAACGTTAAGATTTATAATAAATTTGAAAGCCCTTAAAACTAGCCTAAACCGTAAATACTCAGTGGCCGGAATTTTATTATTGCCTGAGAGTGTTTTGGGCGTGCCTTAAGGAGACGAAGGGAACTCCTAAGGGAGTGGATGAGCTTCAAAAGAGTTAAAAGTTATTTTATGTAAAGTATAAAGTTTCTTACGATGTTTGTGTTGGATTTAGGGAAATGCTTTAACATTCAAATTTTTTGTTTTCTTTTAATTCTTTTTATTTTTTATTTATTTTGATAATACTGTGCTTCAGCTTCCTAATATTATTAGGGTGGACGTAGGTGATAGAGTAAATACGTTGGTTTGTAGAGTCATGTTGATTGTTCGGTTGCCATAATATAAATAAAATAATTGAAATTCAAATAAAACGTAAACTTAATTGCTAACCAAATAATACGAATCACATGTTGCAGTTAGACTTTAAATATAGTCTACTACTATAGCTTTGGACACTCTACTTTTTCTATAATTGTATATCTAGAAAGTATCTGTTCGGTCGAATTCGGGCAGTTATATCCTCAAAAGTTGCATTTAAAATTTTGCAAAACACATTATGGACAAACGGGATTAGTCACTACGGGATAACGTGGCAGATTGACTCATCAATTCTTTGTAATTACATCAATCCCTTGTTACTTTTATATCTAAGAGTCTGACGGCAGCAGTGTAAAATGCACAAAAACTCTTCGAATCAAAATACAAGCCTGTCCACTTTCTAAATGAACTAAAAATAGCGGTAAACAAAACCTATAATAGTTTGTTTATTTCATGATCAAAACTATTAGAAATTAACAAAAACCCTATCTTTTAAAATTTTGACAGTAACAATCACGTATTCACAACGTGTGTCGCTAACAATTAGGGCTTAATTAAAAAGGGTTTTTAGGTATTATTTCAACTCGATTTTTATAGATATTGCTTTCTCAGCGCAAGAGCTAAGTGAAATCCCGGGAATTTCGTAGCGAGAAGAAACTGGCGCCCTTTTGGCACCACGATTTTTATTTCGAAATTAGGCAGAGAAAAATAACCCTTTTAGTTCTTCGTAATGTAATGTTATAAATCTTGTAGTTTTGAAAATATAACCATCCATTTAGTAAATTTTGGATATATTAGGCAAATATTTTTTAATTTGTATTATTATAATTTATAACATTTGATAACATGTCGATGATGTATACTGAAGTTGTCTACTTTGAAAAAGTTGTAAAAATTATATTTGTCTAGTAATTATGCAAATTAACTTTAAGAACACTCAGTTGCCCTATATTTGTAGTATCATCCACCTAATATCATTTGTGAGCTATTCCGAGCATTTCATTTATAAAATACGTTTTGTAGTCACTGTGCGACGGATTACCTAACTCTACGGGCTGGAAGTTCGCCTTCGGCTCCGCTTCTTGCTTCACTCTGTTCTGAAAGAAGCACTTCGTTGGAGCATCCTGGACCAAATCTATTGTTGGAGTTCAAGTTAGTTTTCTACCAATGTGTTTTACGCTAGTGATACTTTTAAAAGTCTTTAACAAATTAGTGTTATTTTGTTCAATTATTATACAAGTCTTAGTAAACTTACAAATATGCAATAATACACATAATTTTCATTAACTATAAAAATAAAATACAGAAAAACTGAAATCAGGTGCAAAGTTTACCAACGTACTTTTTTACTGTATTTAATGTGCTAATTATTCTACATCATTAAATGGAGAGTTATGAATTTGTCCTAGTTCTGGCCCCCTGGTACCGCCATACGACTATAATGGATTTATAGCGAAGCTGGAATTTGTGGAACGCATTGACAGTAGCGGCCCACCACCGACTGTCGCCGCCGCGTCGCCACCTCTCGCGGCGCTTACGCATATATCGCAACATGGTTAGTGATATGCTTTGGTGTACGTGTTATATTATATTGTGTTATAAAACTATGAAGTATGTGACATGATGCACTGGTAGTCAGTTCCATTACAAAAGAAAAAAGCACTGTACGAATATATTAAAAAACCTTCTCCGATAATAGGTCAATTTTCTAAAAGAATGTACCGTTTCATAATTTAATATCACCCACAGGTTCTGAACAACAAACATATACATGTACTTTCGGCTATTCGTCCATTCATTATTAAAAAAGTTCAAAATAAATTTTAGATTTTGTCACTGGCGTTTTTTGACGCAAATGCTACGGCGTAGTCGAGTGTTACAGTGTAGCCGTGGGCTACGTAGCAGCAGAGATCTACGGCGTAGCCGAGAGCTACGGTGTAGCCGAGTGCTACGGTGTATGCGCCAACTACGCCGTAGCATTTGCATCAACCACGACAAAAAACGCTAAAGTGACAAAATCTAAAATTTATTTTGATTTAACATTTTGTGGGTGCTGCATAAGTTACCAGGACTTTTTGAATTTTTGTATATATATTGCTTTAGTGCTATAGTTCCTAAGAGATTAAACTCTATAGTTAAATTTTCTATTGTCTTGTTCTTGTCTAAGAAGTCGTTTCAATTTATAGTATGAACTAAAAAGTGAAAATGAAAAATATACGTTATTCTCGGAAATAATGTGAGAGCTTTGACATAAGCAGGAAATAAGTGCAGATATACAATGTTTATTTTGCAAATTTCATTGTAATGGGAAAAATATCGCCTTAAGATATTTTTAATTTTGATAAAATTACCATAAATCACGTTATACTTATTTTCACTTCTTCAGCTTACTTCGGTTTCAGTTTTTAATAGACCAGCAAAGAAGTTAATAATAAGGTTTATGAATTACCCTACTTTGGTGTATGCACAAGGTTTATTTCTTTTTTGGGATTACTGAAAAATTGTCGTTTTAATAGTATCTAGCACCATACGGTCTGCGTAGGAAGGCGGGAGACGGTTCACATGAAAAGATTTTTCTACGGGATGTGTAGAACTTTAGAACGTTATTAAACTTCCTTATGATCTTACAGAGGACGGATTATCGTCAGGAGACAACAATAAGGTTTCTAATGAAGTCTCCAATGGTGGGCATTTTGGCTGCGGCGCGACAGTACGCGGTTTCGGCGCGGGTGGTGTGCGCTCCGGACATTTTGATACTAGAGCAAATACTTGGCGTTCGCAGTGTACGTTACATCTAATAGGTTCACCTACGGATGTCGTGCAGGTTTCGCTATTTAATTACAATTTAAAGTAAGTTTAATTTGAAATAACTATCAGTTTATTTTAATGACTTACCCCATTAAAGGTTATAGAACATGATCTAGTATTGTTTGCTGATGACATTTACTTATTATTTAAAGTTAAGAGGCACCAAGGTTAGCATTACGATGTGAATAATGCTATTTCAAAGATAGTAGAGTGGTTTGCAGTTACACAAATTATGTTACGTTTACATTACCTAACATTGCATAGAAAGGCCACAATCATCGTCATTAGAAATAAAATTGAACCCTGTAGATACTATACTTCTAGGTATAAGTTTTGATGCTAAATTTCAATGGGGTCCACAAATAACCAAGTTGCCGCAATGGTTCAGCTCTGCGGTGTATGCTATTTCAAAAATACGAAAACTTTTAGGTGTAGTAACCTCTAGATTAGTTTAGTTTAAGCTACTTTCAGTTTAATAATACAGAAGTTTCATTCGTGGTAATACTGCAAAATTAATAGAATATTTGTCCTACAAAACATCATGTTTGGGTAATTTTTTCATGAAAAATGAAATGTGAGACATTAATACGAGCAATAAACAAAAAGTGGCTGTTTTTGACAGTCGCCTTTACAAAGTTACAAACTAATTGTATCATTTAAAGAGTAATTTTATACGCTACTATAATAAGATTCCGGTTGATACTCAAAATTTGGTTTAATAAGCAAATAAAATTTTGATTCAGTCTTTACTTTCACTCAAATAAATCTAAAAAGATTACATATTCCATAAATGTTTTCATTTGAACGTCATCTTGTACTTGGATGCCGTTTCATACGACCGTCAGTTTATATTTTCTTTTGAACAATTTGTAACGGCAGACAATAAAAAAAAAATTATATGTTTTTTGCGTCGTTCGTATACTTACAGCTTGCGATACCAAACTCTTAAAACAATAGCATAATAGTACTTACAACAACGACCATTTGAGAGCTTTCAAGATTGCTCTGATGTGTTGTGAAGGCCCTGTGGGCCTTTATCCCCATTTAAACTCAACACCTAACCCATCTCAGTTTTTGATAAAGCGTCTATATTACATTTAAAGTTAAATTTTGCTCCTGGTGATTTGAAAACAAATTCAAATTTCATGAGATAAGTCAGTGAATTAATTTACTTTTAGTTTAGGCCATTTGGTTTTGTTCTTTCTTTTGTTTAGGAAGAGTTTATTATCTTCGAGCGTTTCTTGGGTGAAAAAAGTTTACATTTCACAGGTTACCAAGCTGTAGATCTCATGTTGAGATCTTAGAGGGCTTACATGAGTTTGGAGGCCGGGGAGAAAGGGCAGACAGGTCTGAAAGAATAGATAGAGCTCTCTTGAGGGTATGCGGACCTACGATGAGAGAAGCAAGAGACTCTTCGGGAAGATTTAAGATTCGCCAAGCTGTGACATCTAAGGGTGCTAATTTGACGATCCTGGTGCGACGCGCAGCATCTCAAAGTGACTCTGAAGAGGAATTCGTCGACGGTGCCTTTGCATTTCACGATCGTAAGTGGACACTAATTTGAAACACAAACGTACAGATTTTATTTAAACTATGACTATTCGAGTTCTTAGGTTTTCGCGATTGTTACACATGGGATATATAATGAAATTATTTTTCCGGATTTAAATCGCGTATATTTGTTTTTCAAAACAAACCGTACTGTGACTATTGTTTACGAAATGTGTACATAAAGTGCTGTGTGTTTTGCACAGAGCAACATGAAGGCACTGCGTCTCCAGACGACACGTGCGCATCGACACACTATGGACTCGCATCACCTGCGCACGGTGGCGTCTCAGCGCCTACGCACCATCATATTTTCTGGAATCTGGAGGAAAGGCTACTCTGCACACATCGTTTTATACCCGCTGCTAATCAGAGCGTTACGATTGAGGTAACTATATGTGTAGATATTTTTTTTTTCTGATTAACCTACTTCCTGCTTATTACGCACAATATATATTATACACATCGTACATTGTGCATTATTTATTTGTGAATTAGCCGATGGACCCTATATAATTTAAGACAACTGTGCAATACATTTTAAGCAAATGAATACTACGAAATTGAAAATTTTCTGTGCCGTCACCTAAATTTGTTATGGAAATTTGATCCTTCGGTAGTACTACTAATGATAATGATAAAAGAGGGTACTCCTCCCACCCTCCGGCGAGCTGTTTAATAATGAGCACAGGCAAAGGTGTACTGAATGCTAGCGACAGGAGGAAGAGTGAGGAAAATTACAAATAATAATCACAGATAATAAACACAAAATATTATGTAAAAATAAAATATTCTTTACTTATGAAATATAAACACGGGTATGGGTTTCTAGGATTTACTTTTTAAGTTATTTTTAGTTTACGTGATTTTTTTTTTGTCGAACTCGGCTAAGTATAACAACGTTACAAATCGAGTAAATGATCATTGATTATGATCATTTACTCGCAAGCAACAGAATTAATTTCAATAATACGCGACCTCGAAATGAGGTAGGTAGAAGTACTTATTATTGTTTCAATGTAATAGTCGGACGTTAGAAAATTGAGGTCACTAGTAGTTACTAAATAACTATAGCATACCTGTATTCGTAGTTTTACTATAATGAAGTTAAGCCTGAAAGTAAAGTTTTATAAAAATAAACCAAATAAGGTGTTGTATTTCAATACAATGAAAAAGACAATACAACCGCTCCACACTGGTACATCCGCTTCGTTTTCACTAGGGACATCCGATCATTGTCTGGTGAAATCTATATGTCTACTTTCCGCCTGATCTCAGTACGAGAGGTACCAAGGGGGTTTGGTGCTACAAGTCGGCAGATTGTTTGTGACATTGTATCCCTGGTGGCAGTTACATTTCTCGCCTGACTACCCGGCGTGTAGCGCATCTACCATTTCTTATGTGATAGTCAGAATTTGGCATTCTTTATCTCGTATTTTGATTATTTCATTATTAGTTTCATTAAAAACAATTATATTTGATACAGCGAATACATGTAAGCAATCTACTAGGTTTGGACTGGTGCTCAAGATCACAAAGTCCCTGAAACCCCGTGAGAGTTTCTGGAAAAAGCTTTTAATAATGCCACTAAATCTTATGAAAAGGCAGTGCGGAAAGCTCAATTCGATAATATTAGTCGTATTGGGGTCAGAATAGCTTTATACCCTTCAGGAGAGTGGAACGTTTTGGTTACTCGTGATATCGGTCGAGACGAATTTCTACAGTGACCTGCAGAAATTCGTCTCTTGTCCCTTCCACCATTGATGAGATCCAACGGATCGCTAGCTCACATCTCTTAGTAGAAAACTAATCTTTTTGTTTCACTCTTCACTCACAACTTTGGCCTTAACGCTATATTGTCAACACTAACCTTACTGTGACTCTGAAATGTCGACGATCATTATACGATAGAGAGCTGTTGGATATGTTATGCAAATTAAACGTCAACAAAACCAGCGGACTTTACGGGATCCCAGCTATTGTCTACGGAACTGGTCATGTTAACTCGTCTGCACGTCGTCTTTCTTCATAGAAAGAATTAGAAAGAATAGAAAGAATAGAAAAAACTTGAGAAAAAAAGAAAGAAAGTTTTGAAACCTAGAAGCTTGGATAATCCGTACCCAAGATAGGTTATCTTACTATCCAATCCAATTATCGATTTATCGATATTGGATATCTCAATTTCTCAGTGATTAACACTTTGTTTGTACTTCGCTATGGTCAATCTACTGGTGGTCTTTTATTCGGTACTGGTCATTTGTGGGGCAAGGACATCGAGAAATGCGGTGAATTTAGTTGCAGTAGAGGTCCTTGTGAAAGAGTTCGTCCAGGGAAGTACTGCCACCTTACTTATTTCTGCCGCGAAGCAGTAATGTCAGCATTACTGTGTCCCGGTTTTGAAGGGTAAGGGTGCTGGTAAAATTATAGACACATGGGACTTGTCGACTTGTGTCTCAGGATGACGGGCGCAGTGGACAGGCGTATAGCTTACCATGAGGCGCACAACTTGTTCGTTCCGTCACTTGACATTATGAAAAAAAAAACTGAAATAAAAGTTGAACTCAAAACTGTAGCAAGATCTCGCATCAAGGCCTCTAAAATGAGTTTCCAGATTACGGAATTTTGGGTTAACTTCAGCACATGGATAGGCAATTCTATGAGGAAGAGATTAATCCGTATAGTTGTATATAACTGCATGTCTCCATGTATTATTGCCTGTACCTTGGAAAAGTGAAAACTAAAAATACACTATTCATTATGGCGTTTAACGGCTTTTTAGCCTAAGAGTTTAATACCTTTTTAGTGAATATTTTACTTACAAGACCACGCTAAAGTAAAAAGCAATGCAAAGTGACGATTAATATGAGTGTTTTAAAAGCCGCTTTTATACTAAATTGAGCTACTTGAAGTGCCGTTTCAAATCCAATTGATTAGGTTGACTTAGGTATCATAAAATTCGAGAAAACGACTGCGGAATGATTTTTAAAATTTTCAACAAATTAGTTTTTGTTACTTTATCGTGTTTTTCTTGTGTGCGTCAGTAAACAGAACGGAAAATCCAATTATGCTTTGTTTATTATAACACACATGATATGTGCCCAAGACTTTAAATTTCTTGATTACTATACGTTATAGTTTAAGATGATATATTTTTATTCGGCCATTTTGTTATGTCCTGTATTTTACTTCATATAAATAATAAAGTTGTGTAGATATGGTATATAAATAACTTAAAACGAGGGTTAAAATCACATACTTGTCAATAGATCCAGCGATTAGATCGCATGTGGAGTGCCGAGCCGACAGGCACTGTGGGAGCAACGGGGTGCCGCACGGCGTGTGGCGACGCGGGCTGCGAGTGCCGTGCTACCACGCCGCTGCACTACCATGACCACATCGCACTCGTTGCGGGGGATGGCACCCATTTGTCGTGCTTGTGTGGCGATTTTCAGGTGAGTTGTCAGTATTATTGTGTATATAGACTAGACCGCAGCTTATCTGGTAAAAGATTAACTTAAAACAAACGATCCGACTTTTTTACGTTTAATCTTCATAGGCTTTGCATTAATCGTAGGCAGTCTCAGTCAAATCAAATGCATTTTGGGTGATAATTCAAAAAAAAAAACAATATTAACACAACATAATTGAGTAATAATGCTCTAGATAGGTGGACGTGTCGTTTTAATGACATCAATTAATTACTAAAATGATATTTAAATGTAAATAATAATTTAATAGCTTGAGATTTTTTCTGTTACGCCGCTTTCAAAATATTATACGCAATTTATAAATGATACGCAATCAATATCGAAATTTATTTGAACAATATGTACAACTTATAATTACTGAGTAATAACAGCAACTAACAGACGGTTATACATATATTAATCTCAGAACATGCTAACAGTTATTGTAAATAATATATCAAAATGTCTCTTTCAGATAGATATTCATTACATTTCGTTATATTAGTTATACCTCAAAATTTTTTTATTCATGTTGGCTATATTAATTTTATATTATAGTAATAACTGAATCCTGAGTAGATATATATTGTATTATATACAAGTATGATATAGCAAGTTATTGGGATTCTTAATTTCATATATAGAACTCACTCATCGTACGGTACAAACCGTTAGGCTTTTTTAATACTGCAGGTAGTTAGATAGGTAGTACCCTATGTAAATAGGTAGATACAGAATGGATAGATAAATATGTAAAACCTAAGATTAGGTACCGGCATCATTTAAAGAATTGGACATATAAGAATTTTGACCCTTTTTGTACTCACAACCGATAACCGTTTTGGAATTCGATAAATGTATCGATAAATTTACTATTTTTACGGTTTATGGTACCATAATGTATAGTAACTGTGGAATAGAGTTACCAGTAAGTTCCGGTACTTAAAGGGTGCTCCTTGATGGAAACATAGTCTAACAAAAACAGAGATAAATAATTTTAACTCTTCATTGCATTCATTATTATTATCATCGTCATCATTCATAACCTGACTTCACTCACTGTGAAAATTAAATAAAAAAAGCAGCCGTACGCCCTTGGCTAAACCGGACCATGCACTTCAGGTCATAGTTTGGTGAGTACCAGAACAATCCGATATCTCAAAAAACAGTCTTTATCTGGTCTACCTTAGGTTTTCTCTGAAATTACTGCATGAAGGACTAACCACACACATCAGGGCCGTGCCAGTGACGTGGACGGGTCCGTGTCCCGTCAGGGGCTTTCTGTTCACACACGTCCGGGACGGGACTAGAACGTGGTTGGACACAGTATCGTGAACGTCAGTGCCCGATACGTGAACTGTTTTCTTGATAACTCTAGTGTGATGAAATTTTTACTAGTATTTCACAGATTAATACTTGGTAACTTACTATAAACAAAACATTCCTTACGATTCGTCGACAAAACAGTAATAAATGTCAAAATTTTAACTTGTGGCGTGATTGTTGACATTGAGTGCTTGCTGAAGATCAAAGTGTTCGTCATCATGTGCTTTTTATGATGATGTTAAAACATTATAATTTGATATCATATTGGAATCACAACCTTATTGGTAAAAAAATCCTCAAAGCGGAGGACATTGTACCTTGTCATTGTTCTTTAATAAAACTGTTTATTAAAAAAAGACCATTTGGAGTAAAATATTACTCAAACACAAAACTTTATCTAATATAGATTGTCTTAAAATTATGTACATGCAGTCGAACATATAACCTTCCCATTTTTATTAAATCGGTTAAAAATGACAACGTGCAATGAAAATGTCGTTGTATCTACGTACGTCACGGCGTCGGCGTGGTCACTGAAGCTCCGGCACCGCCCCGGACACTGGAGCTCCGGCGCCGGCCCGAACACGGACGTGTGTGAACGAGGTCATACAAAATATACGCAGCGATATTTCTTGAGCCTCTGCCGGAGCACGGCCCGTCCACGTCCCGGGCACAGCCCTGATGGTTGGTCCATTAATCTTAAACGTAGCACTTTTCTTTTTTATTAAATATAAGTGCGCATTTGACCTCCATCTCACCTGATAGAAAGTGACGATGAGGTCGACGATGGAGCATGCACACCTAAATAATGCCTATTCACACTCGCCTTCAAAAGACCAAAGCTATAACGTTCAGGGAACAAGTCTGCAGGCAGGGAATTCCACTCCGTAGCCGTTCGCCATATAAATTATTACTTCATCACGGTTCTTTGGTAATTTCGTAAGCAATTCGAAATTCGAATAAACAAGATAGCTGCATAGACAATTCAAATATCTATATTTCGAACACTTAGGTAGACGATGTTCGCATAGCGGCCCACCAGTCAGCCAGATGAACATTTGTTTCAAGATGACGGAAATGGCCAGGCAAAAATTTGGTATTCGGGGGTATTCCAGGCTTTGACATGGGGGTATTGCCGGATTTGATAATCAGGGGTTAAAAATACTTACCCCACTTTCCAATTTTATCAAAATAATATTTGAAAGAATGTCGAAATCCAATGTCCGCGTAGACTAGCTCTGAGAATTCAATGCGAACTCGAACGTCAAGTTTGGCGTGGGGCAAAGCCGGAGTCATTTAACCGCCATATTAGAGACAGGTGGAATGGTCTAGAAAAAAGATGTCGAGAGGTCAATGGAGCAAAACTTTTCCAATTTAGCGGAACCGGAATTACCGCCATACAAAGAAGACCTTTTTTTGGTTGAAGCTCCCAAGCCCTGCGACCTCGCCGCTTTACGGACATATAACCACTTAAAAATATGGTGTATATGACACCCACATTGAAATAGTGCATGTTTTTATTTCTCCCTAGATTCGGATTTTGTATGCCTCTAGTCTACTTTATGTACTAATTATGACCGCCTACCATTTTCAATCCATTCGACCGTGACCGGTCAAACACCCCCACACCAGCCATCATTTTTATTCACGTCTGATTTTGAGAGAACAATGAAGGCCATCAGTGAGCTAGTGGTAATATATACTAAATCATAGGTGCATTCGTGTATTTAACCGTAATCCGAAAAACTGTAAGGTTTTCCTTTGGATGTCAATAATTTTGTTAAAGTGTGATCAAAACAATTTTTACAAAATACGCGGACACATATAAATCTTTAGCAAAGTATTCAAAATAAGTTGTAACTAAAGCAATGTGAAAACAAAGTGTATAATTAATTTGAAATCTCTACGAAAGTTTAGTTCATAATGTACAATACATTTTCCAGGAAGGATAAAAATCAGTTTAAGTTGAATCGTGGAATATCACACTATTACTAAGTTATCTATTTGATTTAGAGTTACAAATTGAGAGCGGTAGGGGCTGATGTGGTAGATTTAAGGGATTGATGTCTTTCGCAGTTTTTAATTCTAGTTTCTCCTATGTGACCTCTGAATATAACCTGTTTTCCTAGCTACTCCCTGCGCAAACTCACATAGTTACGCGATACAAGTTTGGGCTTTTAATGTTGCACTTGAAGACTGGTTTCAGTGTCACATGTTAGCTGCACTGGGTGTAGTATATAGTGGAATCCTAAGCACGATGCACTGGCCGACCGCAGTAAAGCCTTGGTAAAGGACCCATACATAAAATGCTTCTCGTAAAAAATCCCACAATGCTTCGTCGTGCGCGTTGGCACCCGGATGTAAGAGATGTAAGGATAATACCCAGAATGTTCCCGCGAGTCTCAGCCATCCATCTGTGTAGCGTCATGTCTGAACCAAATAAAAAATATTCCTCTTCTTGCTTGCTCACTCTTTTTAAATAATATAAGCAGTGTGTGCAAAGTGCACTTGATCTTGTTTATTATCATCTTCAGACCGACACTTGAACTTGCATTAATTATCCTAGAGAATAATCATAGGTGAAGGGTCGATTTGTCACGATGACATTTGAAACAACCAGACAGTTTTCATATACCTTGAGTGCTTGTGCTTATACCAGAACATCACCTGCTGAGAGGGAGAACGTGCTGGTACACTCTTGGTGACAAGCGCTATACGTGTACCTGTTGTTGATAGCCATACACCCAATTTCTTTTGCTGACATCTTATCCAGTGTCGAGTGTTACAATTTTCTCATACCTAAGATGGCTTGATAATCTATGCAGGGCTGCTGGACGGGATACGACTTGAGAGGCATCCATCAATAGACGCCAGTAGACCGATGGCTATGATGACGACGATAATAATGACAATCGAGTATCAGTTTCAGGTCTTTTAGGAAATTTCGACTTTAGCCTGTACTTTTGTACAAGTTTCGAGTTCTTAGGTTTTCGCGATTGCAAAACGTAATGTAGCGTAAATTGGAATGTTTCTTTGTAAAATTAAAATAAGGTATTTAATTAATAACTATAGTGAATAAATAACCCGGTGGTTTGCATTAATATTAGTATAATATTAGATAACTGTAGTATTAATATTACATAACTGGTTGATGACTGTACCACCTCAGTTAACCGTGCGTGACCATGGGACCTGTAAAGGGCCCGAAATGTTGGTTTGTTTGAAAAAACAAATATACGCGATTTATATCCGGAAAAATAGTTTCATTTCCTATTGTACAAGTTTGTTTTGCGCATGGCCTAGATTCTAAGGAACTTGGTGCAGATTGATATATGATACGATATTTTCCCGCATCTTATTTTTGGTAGCAAGGTATTATCATTGTCTTAACGACGTGTCGCGCTTTGCGGTGAAGTGAACTGTCAGGCTATGGTATATTTTGTTGCTTATGCAGATATTAACTCTGGCATAAAACTTGTCTTGGGATTAAATACTGTTCATGCTAAGTCACGGAAATAATTTGCTTACTAGGCGTGGGTGGACGTTTGTTTCCGCACGGCTTCGTTTATTTAATAATCATCAATAAATTCATCACGTCCTACGCAAAGGCTCACTTTAACTCCTTTTTTCGACTGGCTTCATATCCCTCTGGGAGTAAAACTTTCTGATCTCTCGCCAAATCGGTCGAGGCCAAAATCTACCGATCATCACTACCACTACCGTTAAAGTCTGATGCATGACTCGCTCACGACGTCAAAATGTAAGCTAGGTTATTTGTTGCTTTTTTTGCGGATAAATCTTGTTGGAATACTGCTGGCAAAGTTCCACACATGTTACCACATCCCTAATACCGGGGATTCATATGCATCATGTAACAGACAGGTACTCAAAACATTAAGCACTTTAACATGTGCAAGGTACGGATGTTATTCTGACTATAATCTAACGGAACTGTAGGCCTGAGTTGCCTTCGGTATGATACGCCTATACCACTAAGTGGTAAAAGACTACTAGTGTAGAATTAGTACCCAATAAGATGGGATTGTGGTTGTCGCCGTGCACCACGCAATCTTAGTTTTAAGTCTTCTTAAGTTTCGGCCACTACGTTGAGTATGTTGTGAAAACTGCCTATCTCTGCTGCCAAGTAGAAATGTGCATTACTGCGTTCTGTAAGGCTAGCACGACGAGAGCGATATAAAGTTGACGGCCTCAGTGGTAGAGTGGTTTGCACACCGGTTTTCGTGGTATCGCCATCTCTGAGGTCTCGGGTTCGATCCCCGGTCGTCAATGTATAAAACTAACTTTTCTATATTGTCTCGCGTCTGGGTGGTTGTGGCACCGTCGTTGTTTCCGATTTCCATCACACAAGTGCTATAGTTACTTACTTTGGGATCAGAGCAACGTATGTGATGTTGTCTAAGCGAGATACTGCCATTCTCGCATCTCGCGCTTTATATCGCTATGGCAGAAGTCGCGCCGTTACAGGTGTTGAAGGGTAAGGGTGCTGGTGAAATTACAGGCACATGGGATTTGTTAACTTATGTCTTAGGGTGACCACTGCAGAGGTAGTTGTCCCTCAGATCTTTGTGCTGTAAAGCACTGAGTTGCACTGCAACTGTTATGAAAAGGCGTGGCGATTACTACCAGGCGCACGACTCGTTCATCCCTTCACTTGATATCACTAGGGCAGTCGGGTAAAAAACTACTAATCTATGGTGTGATTGATTGTTGGACTATAGTCTACAACTATTAGATAACCTGGGTATTATTTACTTGGTAGTTCAACTGTAAACATATTTATTATATTTATTAATAGGTAACACTAACGTACATCGCTCCCTCCACGTCAAACTGAACACTTTATTAATCCATAATTCCTGTTGTTTTCAAATTTTGCAGATGGCATTCTACACATAATGGAAACCATATTCGTGAAAAAGACTTGGTATTTTTCTTATAAAAGGTAGCACTTGCTAGCACGGCTGCAAGTGGATAGAAATCACAATAATGTCGTTCGGGCTAACATTCAAACAATGTCGTAACTATTAATCATATAAAAAATGCATAGGGTCGATTTTGAAGATCTTGACTAATTCTATGTTGTGGTATATATTTAAAATTTCTCTTTGATATTAATATTTTTTTAGCATCATTCACTTTCAACTTATCAAATTAAAATTAAAAAAAATGTTATGTTTGACATGGTGCAGAAGCCAGACGGTTTTTAATAAAAAGGTCAAAGTAAATCTAGTATTACGTGTAATTATGTTAACAAGATTGATAGAAAAAAAGTAATGAAAGTTGCTATTCCAAATTAGTAGGCGCAAACAAATTAATGTTAAAGTTAAGCTTAAGGACATGGAGTGAGACAAATAGATACAATAACTTGATTAAAAGACTGCAATAAAGTATTAATTATAAGAACCATATTTAAAGAATATTTTATAATTTACATTCGTAAGCCAACCTAAAACATTTTTGCAAAATGTGCTTGAGAGTTTTAATTACATTCGGTTTAATGTAACAAGCAAACAGCCAATTAACAAAAAAAAAGCTCTTGTTGAATGTAGTGTTTGATGATTGATTACCTCTTCATTTAGTTTTGTAAAAATAACTTTTAGATTTTACTTTTATTACGATTAATTTTATACTACTATTATTCTGTACGTTGGCTCAATTATGCTTTAACACCTACGCTAATAATGTTATAATCTCACTAATCTCTCAAAATCCTCTTTGAGAGATTAGTGAGATTATTTATGTGCAGAGTGACATAAATAAATAAAAAAATTTTACATTATCTCTCGATTCAAAGAGCGTCAAATTGCAAAGAAGGCTTTGAAAAAGTAATTAGTTTCTGAAAGAAATTAAAATAAACGGTGTTTTTTCGGCGACTGAAACAAAATATTTTAATCAGACAACACAGATCAGAAAGTAAATGGCAAAAAGTCTTCTAGAAACTTTTATACCTTGCTGAAGTAGACATTTTGTTGATGACAATTCCGCAGCGATGTCGCTCAGGGCCTCCACATTTACACTACTACATCTGACGAGCGCACTCAAAGTTTCTTCTGAACCTCGGCTCAAAACGAATCCTAATTTTCACATAAAAAATCGATTAAAGTCTAAACAGTTCAATATAACTATACATGGAAAAAAGACGCCAATTGCTTGAATTTTAAACAAAACAGGTTGTTTGACAGAAAAAATACGGCTCTGAAAGGTTTACTAAATTTAATTCAATTCTATTTGGAGTAAACACCGAGCGGCCAATATTGTTTCCAATTTCGAATCCATTGTTTGGTGATTGCTTACCTAATTATCGTTCACTTTTTTCATATCGCTTACTTACATAATGTTTTGATATGGTTTGTTAAATAACGTCAGGATGCCAAGTGACCACATCACGGTGTCGAAAAAGACGTAACAGATAAATTAATCGTGTTACTGGGGCCTTATGTTAACATGGCCAAAGGATGAACCAACCCATTCCATACTCGCCGCCGTCGTCCGGGTTGCGGCGAGATACGCATAATTAAGTAAGAGGGTTACTATTAAGTATGTAACAGCAACAAACCCTAGAACGACCGCCCGACCGTAAGGGACTTCTGCCTAAAAGCAAATTTATCGCTAAATAATTTACCATGTTTGCTATAATTCCTCCATACTTCGTTGCCAAGTTACTTAAATTTCATGTGTAAACAACACATGAAATTTTGATATACAATTAAAAATACCTAAGGAGTATGCCTAAATATATTTATTAACATGCCCCAATGCGCGAGGGTATGAGTAACTTATTGAATTATTAACAGCTTAACAGCAAGAATTGTGACTAGAATGCATCACTGCTGATGAGGTACCCAAGTATATCCGGAGCGGCCGGCGTATCCTGGTAATAATAAAACATGGCCTTGTTGGCGTGTCATCTGTCCGCCCCTGTTATTAGTAGCTCAGCGTTAACGCATTGCTCCCGGCGACAGCTCCGGGTCTCGGCATAGAAAATTAAATTACTTACTACTCGCCTACGTATGCGTATTGCGTTCACCGTTGCAGGGCAAATTTGTCAATACGCTCTGCACGTATGGCACATGTGCCAGCCACAAAGTTGGTACTTTCTCTTTATTTACCCGAAATCCGGGAAATAACAACTTCTGTACAACATTATTTACATTATTTTCAAAAATAATTTTATTTTTGTGTATAGGTACACATTATAACATTTTTCGTTTGTTTTAGGCGGTTTGGTTGCCTGTAGTTGTTCGTAGCTGGACCAGTGTTCGATTAGAATATTCAGTGGCTCACTACACATACGCAAGCCGTGGGTTTGAATACGCCGCTGCATACAGTTTTAATGATGATGCCATGTGTGGACAGCGCAGTTACACAACTCACTCTGGTAAGCGACATATGTATGTACATACATATATCTGGCAATAAATAAGTTCCGTCCAATTGTCTCTTTTATTTCAATGGCGTGAAAACAAACCCGAGAAAATCCGATGAAAGTGTCTCACGGGAGGCAGATAATCGCCAATTTATCTGGAATGAACTCTATATAGACCCCAATCGTATAACGAAAACAAACCGTTCAATTTGACATTCGACTCGCGTCTTGGGTGTTTGAAAAAACTCGTCGAATATTGTTCTCGGTGTCGAGGGGCGTGTCCGAGAAAATTACGTGGAACGACCCAGTTTCACGACGCCTAGGGTGACACTGAATAGAAAAAAACCTTGAAAAAGGTCGTAAAGTTGCATTATTACTGCGGTGTCTCTTTGTCTGCCTTTCTTTTCATTACACTTATTACAGAACACGTTACAAGGTTTCTTACTCTACCTCATAATTTACTTTGTTCCTCCCTCAGGTGAAATAACATCGAAAAATGTAACGGTGACGGGGAGTTTGAATGAATTTTTTTATCAGCAATGTACCTGGATACTGGATTCGAACGTCGAACGACAGCTTTTTATAGATATATCTTCGGAACAGGTATTACTGATTTAATGATGATTGAATGACTTTTGGTACTTTGATTTTTAATAAGAGTCGTTCACCTGCTTGTTTCCTTTACAATAGGATAAGTCGTGCAGCTCATGGAATATCACTCTTCACGAGTGGTCGGGACCTGGATCACACGGTGACAGTGGATTAGCGGCGGCAGCTGGCGAGCTGCTATATACTTTCTGCGCTCGACATAAGAACCACACTTACACGTTACCATGGCGTCTCAACACTGTCGTGATACGGTAAGTTTTATACGGATTTCTAGGCAAAGAAACGTGGATGAGTCGAGACTGTTACGATAGTGGGGCCAAGACGTGTATATATGTCTAATCCTCCTCCAAAATCCTCTTCAACGAATTCTAAGTCGGTAATCCTTAAGGAGTGAATGAAAATGGTTCAATGTCCGTTGGACATTGTGTTGCATATATATATATATATATATATATATATATATATATATGAGAGGGAAAGAGGGAATTGGTATATCTAGAATTATAAAAAGTGGTAGTTTGATTATCCGAGGCACGAAAATTTCAGATTTGCTGGACCTTTTATTGGGGACTAAACACTTTCCAAAATAAGAAAAAAACACTTTTCAGACATCCCATTTGGTAAATTATTTATGAATGTCCCTCATCCTTAATACGGCAACCTACGTGGCAAATACGTGAAAGCACATGCTTTTATATAGGTACTTTTTCATTGGGATCTTTTTCTTTGTGCATATTAGATAGGAAGCCGTAAGCGAGGACGTGGTATGTTTCTGAAATGACATTTTCAGTTTTTTGACAACGATGTGTGAAACCCTTAAACTATGGAAACCAAGGACATATTATGTTGACATATACAGCTCAGACGTTATGTGAAAACACACGTTTGTCTATGAATTCCTACTCGGAAAAAAGAAATATTTCATTCGTAATGGGCATACACGCAAAAAAACATGTCACAAAAATCAATGTTAAAACTAATGTTTATTGTGAAGAGTCTAAATTATGCAATATAGCTATTTCATTTTAGCTGATCAACTAAAGGTCTATCCACACATATCCGGGTCGTGCCCGGGACGTGGACGGGCCGTGCTCCGTCAGGGGCTCAAAAAAATACCGTTGCGTTTTTGTATGAACTCGTTCACACATGTCCGTGTCCGGGCCGGCGCCGGGACGGGCCCGTAGTTCATACAAACTAACACGCCCCGTCCACGTCCCGGGCACGGCCCTGATGTGTGTGAATAGTCCTTTAGGCGGGTTACGATAGCACCCATTTCAAAAGTAGTCTAAGCCTACCTACATAACCCTTTCCTCAATTGGTATTCTAGACATGAGCGCAATTGTTCCTGAATAAAACATTGGTGCATTTACATTTTATTCGTAGGCTGGTAGCACTGTCACGGCAGCAGCCTCTCTACACGATCCGGTGGAGATCCCAAGTGGTTCGTGCCAACAATCGGCTCGGACCGCCCACTCCGGCTCCCGCAGCCGCTGGAACTGCCGTCACATTCAAAATCGATCTGATCCACGGACTAATTTACTTTTTACTGTGTATGGGTGTTAATAAAACTTTACTACCAATTATATAGAACGATAAATCGTGAAACGTACCGTTGGCGTTCTAATTATTTTTTGTTTTTATTGTGAATTAATGTCAGGACTTTATCGTGGATGTTCCAGGATAAATGATCAGTGTGCTATAGTAAATAAGTGAAAAAGAAGAGAGCAGTCCGAATTGATGTTGAAAGTTTTGCTCTCTTGAGGATTATGGTTTATGTAGCCGGTGGCAAAATTGAGGCGTGGCCGAAGAAATCGGATTCGTATTGCAATAACACCGAAAATGGACCACTTTGTTTTTTTTTGTGCAGAATACTTGTACAGGAGAAATAATGACGTAAGCGCTCTGCAGCCTTATTCTCTGACTCGACCAGGAAGTAAACACCACATTTGTTATTTAAGTCTATACAGCGAAATACCGTTTTTCTATAAAGTTTGATTTATATTCTAGTATGGTTTGTACAGGCTAGGTAACAAACCTATGGAAAATGTGACGGAGTCGGTTGTAAATAATGGACATTTACCAAGAGTGTTCCATTGCATAATGTAATTTTATTATGGTTGAAAGCCTTTTGTTAGGAAATTATCACTGTAATACAGTTTTCTGAGCCTTGTAGACAGGAATTAACAGTGTATTCGTAATAAACAGGAAAGAAACAGAATACCAAAGCCTAGTACTAGTAATAAAATAGTAATCAATCGGATGGCTTGCTTTAATTTCTTGACTTTGATGTTTTGTTACCTCAAATATAGAACTAAAAAAGCTAAAATACTCTCGTTACTATGAATATAATCGACCTGTAAACGATGAATTTGTATAAATCATTGTTAATTCGGTGCTGAGAATCAAGTGGTGATTAATTTAAGGTACTGTTAATATTATTTTCCTTATGCAAATAGCATCAATTGAGTAACTAGATAATGTTAATGTCAATTACGAATTGTATATGTCTAGAATAAAACATGTATTTGTTATTTATATGTTTCGTTAATGTACAAACCTATGCTGTTATAGGTGTTTATGTGTACTTATTTATATAATCTCAACAATTATGCTAAAAAGCATATTAATTTTACAATCATTTATTGTTAATAGTATGAATGCAAAGCTTTTAAGTTTTTTGGAGTAAAACTCCTTATTGTAGTAATTTGTAGTAAATAATAATAATACAGGTATGTATTTATTTTAGACGCAAATATACATATATTTAACACAGAAAAACAGCAAAGTAAGAAATTCTTTCTAGAACACTTCAACGTAGGAGGTAAAGTTCAATGTAGGAGCAAAAGTAAGCAAAACGAGAACATTTAACATTTAATTCAACAATAGGGAAATTATACAATTAAATTTGCAAAAAGTCTGTTAGTTATCATTCATCATTTGTTTTTAAAATGCACATAACATTTGCAATAGTTTGCAGTTTAAAAAGTGTAGAATCGGAATGTGAAAAGCGCGATAAATTGACGATTGTTACTCACAATTTTCTTGCCACCACGATAAGACATTTATAAACTCTTTGTCCCGGTATTAACCTGAAACCTGTCTATTGACTCTAATGATCGTTTTGTGAATAACCATGAAAATCGCAAAATCTACAATTTATTAATAGGTACTAAGAAATGGATTTAACGCAGATTTGTTGTTTTTTCGATATTAATTAATTAATTAATGTGTATAATATTAAATATCACGAAATTAGTTGTATGTAGACTGTACATAGTAAACTAAACGATATACTAATTTTAATAGACGACCCCGTAATACTTGGTAATGTTTGTTACACCGAAATAGATGAGACGAACTCAGTCAATTGTTTTATTTCTAGTTCCTTGTTCTCTTACATCTCACATCACATCTCAAAAAGAATCCAGCTGGGATGAGCTGCGTTTGAAAAGTTAGGTGACATCCTTAAATCAGATAAAGTTCCACAGTGTCTGAAGACCCGCTTGTTTAATCAATGTGTTCTGCCCACCATGACGAATGGTTCCTAGACATGGACACTCACGCAGGAAACCGTACACATGTTGAGTGTTGCACAGAGAACCATGGAGCGCGCCATGCTCGGCATCAGCCTTGTAGACCGAGTTCCGAACGTTGACATCCGACAACAGACGAAAGTCCAGGATACTGGAACTCGGATCATGGAACTCAAATGGGGTTGGTCGGGACACATAGCAAGGCTAGGTGATGACAGGTAGAGCAAGATATCGACTGGGTGGTGGCCAAGCATGGGCAAAAGAAGCATCAGGCGTCCTGTTGCAAGGTGGGTCGACGACATAGTACGCATCGCGAGACGTCAATGGATGCGGCTAGCATAGAACCGTGGTGGTTGGCACAAACTTCGGGAGGCCTATACCCAGTAGTGGGTGAAAACAGGCTGCGGATAATGATGATGTTCTCTTACATAATATATTATTGTCTAAATTGATAACAACCATAGATTTAGTATATAAATCTTTAATAACACCTGTCTTAATCAATTATGTAGGCATATAAGATACGGCGAATGATCGTTGTGACGACAAAAAAAATCGGTTTGAGAGTCAGAATTGCGGGAGTATACTAATTAATACACTAAAATTTCCTACTAAATAAATGGTACCTAGGTAATTTCCACGTTGGCATTCTCCACTTAATTTCAGTGGCAATTTTTATTATTTAAGTATTCGAGTATATTATCGTGAAATATTAAATATATATCTGGATACTACACTTGAATATTAAGTAATATTTCATGATAATATTCTAGAATACTTAAATAATAAAAATTGCCACCGAAATTTGGTAGAGAAAATTAATATGAAAATTACCCGCCTACGTTGTGCAATTTAGTACCTATACTTGAAAAAATTCTACCTCATTCAGAACAAAATTATAACAATATCGATTTACACTACGTTTTGACATTAAAATGGCGTGAATACTTAGGCCAAATACGTACTCAATTTCATCTGATCAAATAATAATTAATGAATCCACATGTGAACATGCACGCATGGGCGTGTGACAGTGATGTTATCCATCTTCACTAAAAACATCATTTCAAAAATAAACCCCTGGATTGTTAACATATTTCTCGTGAAACGATTTAACGAATTGAATTTACGGTAACTAGCCAAATTGCTTATTTAACTTTTCCAGATATTTCAAACATTTCACTCGCAGATTCCATTTTATGTTTAATACGAATAACGAAAAGTATTTGAGGAAAATCCTCGGGTGTTTCATTTAACGAGTCGCTCTAAGTTGGCATAATCAGGATTGCACTGGAAAGTAAACATCGAAGCGAACTTCCTCGGAGCATTTTCAGTTCGATAGGGATAGTTTTAAACTTACTATTTGAAATGCTCGCTTTTCTTTTCACTTCCGCCACTTGCTTTTGAGGTTTCTAAAAAGGAACGAGTGCTCTTGAACAAGTGTTTTTATTTTTATTTTTATTTTCAGCATCCTATTACTGCCATTGTGTACGCTATAACTACTTTCCTATAAAACGGATCAGTAAGTAGCTGAATTAAATTGAACACTTTTTTCTTTATTTGTCTTTAGTTTTGAAGTAATCAATTTAATTACGTAGACGAAGTAAGTTTTTTTTATAACATCAAGAGACGGGACGAACAAGTCGTGCGCCTGATGGTAAGCTACATACCTGTCCATAACAGTTACAGTGCCACTCAGAGCTTTCAATTACAAAGATCTGAGGGGCATAACGACTGCGCCAGTCACCCTGAGACTTAAGTTGACAAGTCCCACGTGCTTGTAATTTCACCCTTAACCTTCTTTCTTATTTTAATGCCTGCATACACCTGTTATTTTTGGACGGGAACATTGAGAAAGTAAGCAAGTATAGTATGTCGCGTCACAGTATTGATATTAATAATTAGCTATCCAAATACGTGTACAGTAGCTAACTTAGATAGCGTGTATTGTCTCCACTTTGAAATTTGTGTAAATACTTGAAAAAGTCTGCACATGGCAGGCGTAGACTTTCATGTGAACTTTCCCCATCGCCTGTAACTTCCCCTCAAAGGAAACGTAATTTAAACTACATGCGGGCACGGCAAGTATTCCCTTTAACTGCACTCTTTCAGCGCACAATTTGTAGTTTAACGTTGAAGGTTTTATTTGGGGTTAAAAGTAGACAAGTATATGTTAAAAGCGATTTAAGCTTTATGCAAACTGATAAGGAATAATAAATTACGATAAAAATTTGATTTCCAAATGAGCAACACTAGGCCTTCTCAATTTTATCTCTCTAATGAGGGTTCATAAATGCAGCCTTATTTGACGTTCTTGGAACATTAAGTAGCATGAAAAGAAACAGTTGAAAATAGCCATTAATGCCACGTATGACGTCCTTTGTAAGTTTCTGTATCAAAGAAATTTCTTCCTATCCATTCGGTACAGGCATGTCCGGTGAAATAAACTTCTCAAAGTAAAGTTCGTTACAATAATTGAAAAGTACGCTACCCCTAGCTTATGAAGGCCTGCTATTTTGTACAAATCTTCAGAAAGTTTGTAAACATTTATTCTGCGGAATAATTTACAGATTGGATGAAACATGAAGATAAAAATAAAGCAAGAGGAAGAGAGGGCTAACTTCACCCACAGGTACTCTTTACTCAGCAAGTTTAGAATCGTGTCTTTGGTGAAATACACGGAAGGTTACTAGTATTTATGTGGTCTGTAGTGAAATAAGTAAGTTACGTAGGTGTGTTATATAGTATATTCGTTATCTCTGAACAAACGAAATGTTTTTAAAGGATTTGCTCACAATCCCCTTAAATGAAGTTCTTATGTTTTATGCAAGGGCCACACTCGTTGTCGTGTGCACATTGACTTATTAATTCCGACAAAATAAACATATTGAATTTTTGAAGCTGCATTCAAAGAACTTGTTACAGAGCTAACATTCTCCGATCTAGAAAAACACCACTGTAATACAAAAATTTTTGTCATTATTCAAATTATTGCTTTAAAACTAATATTACTATTACTTCTAGGTCTTACAATAACAATTTGTTCTTTCAAGCCAGTGAATTTTTTTTTATGACATGAAATAGCACTTACAAATAGGTCCCGTAGAAGTTAGTGCTGCCAGCTCAGTTGAAGAACACAAGAATAATGACGTCTTGAGCTCGCAGTTGCCTTGCCACTGTGTCCAACATTGTTCATTGCTATCATAATTTACTTTTTTTCGCAGAAATTTTAGCCGAAAGATACATTGCCGACGATGAACAAAAGAAAACATGATCTTCGTGCGTAAATAAAAACGTTCGTTCTTTTGTTCTGTGACGTTGAATTAATTTAAGGGATTGGGCGTTAGAGGCCGCGCGCAAACATAAAAGGACGAAGATAAAACCGCTATATCTATCTATACTATACTACCTTACTTAGCTTATATGAAACCTAATATTATGAAAGTATCACATAAATATTCATGAAATTCAGATGTAGGATTAGGCGGCGGCGTCCCGTACGAGGGTATGCAATATTAGAAAACCGCGAATAGGTAAACAAAATAAAAACAACCGCAACAATAAAAGCATCGCATTGCAAGTTGCCTCTTAAAATAGGTCACAAGTCGTTATACATCACAGAAAAGGTCAGTCGACCAGGAGCTTTTCTAAATCCATCGTTTCAGAAATCTTTATTTTTTCGTGCACGAACCCAGTCTCAGGAGGATTACTGGCGTACAGAGCATTCCTATTGTTAACTGTATGCTTTCCAACTAGCTAGGTTAACTTTGAAGCCGGTCGTCGTGTTAATTAGAAGTGAAACGAACGTGCCCACCCGTGTCGTTTGTTAGCAAAAACGTCCATGTACAGTCGACGTCAAAATGAACTTAGAATAGAATAGAATAGATGGACTGGAATAGAACAGAATCACGTTGGATGTGTAGATATATAATATTTGATTAGTTTAACCGTTCATATAATTTTAATGACGACTGTACCTAAGCTACATTGTAAGTGGTAGGTACTAAGTGAAGGGACGAATAAGTCGCC